AGATGGATAGATAGAAGATAGACAGACAGATAGATGGACAGATAGAATATAGATAGATGTATAGATAGAAGATAGATGGACAGATAGAAGATAGACAGACAGAGAGATAGAAGAGAGATAGATAGATGAATAGATAGATAGAAGATAGATAGATGGATAGATAGAAGATAGAGAGATAGAAGAGAGATAGATAGACAGATAGATGGACAGATAGAAGATAGATAGATGGACAGATAGAAGATAGACAGACAGGGAGATAGAAGAGAGATAGACAGATAGATGGATAGATAGACAGAAGATAGATAGATGGATAGATAGAAGATAGACAGAGAGATAGAAGAGAGATAGATAGATAGATGGATAGATAGAAGATAGACAGAGAGATGGATGGATAGAAGATAGACAGACAGATAGATGGACAGATAGACAGATAGAAGTATTTACTAAGTGCTTACTTTGTGCCAAACACTGTGCTAAGTCCTGGAGATGCAAATATAAGCAAGCCGGAAAGCCCAGCCCTCAAAGACATTCCGTTTCAATTGAGGGAGACATTCAGTAAAGGGCAGCTCTAAGGGTGGGGTATGAACAGCTGCCCAGTGCGTTGGCAGGAAGGCGACATCGACATGGGCACCTCCTTCCTGGTGAGAGAAGGGGAAAGCTCTTGGGAAGATCTTATCATGAGGGAACGCTTCCTCCCTGAGGAAGTCCTTAATGCCTGGCTGACTACCACAAGAAGGTTGGGTGTCACCTACTCCCACCCAGTGCATTGCGGGGACAGAATGAGTCATTCGGAGATGAGCAGGCGGCGATGTGTTTGATCTGTGTCTCATCACATTATCTCACCCCCCTAAGACACACACACACACACACACACACACACACACACACACACGCACACACGCACCCTCTCATCTGAACTCCCCTCTTCCTGCCAGTCAACCATGTTCTCAATATTCCAGCCGATCTTGTCTCCTCCCTTTTCCTCCCCTGATGTAGCCACTTCGAATCTCCTCCATCTTTCTACCTCCAAGATACCTCTCGTATTCACGCTATTTTCTCTGTTCACACATCCTAGTTCAGGGGCTCATCACCAGGCTTTTGCAGTAACTGTGACTGGTCTCCCCTGCCTCCTGTCTCTTCCTAAAGGGATCTCCCTGGAGAGAAGGGCTGACGGTTCCCCTGTTCAATGAATTTCAGTGGCTCCTATTGCCTCTGGCGCAGATGTAACTTTGTCTTTATCTGATCCTTGTTTTTAATTTCTATTTTTGTGAACTTTTCATAATATACATACATTTATATAACTTAGTATTTGTACAACATCTATAAATATGTACAAATACACACATAGGCATTTGTGCTAAAAAAAAAAAAAAGTTGAAGTGAAAAGTCTAGCTTGTGCTCCGTTTCTGCCCTCCTGGTGCTCAGGCAAGCCCCATTGTCTGTTTCCCACCTTCTAACGTGAAGTCACCTCCTTGGTTGATTCCAGCTTTTGGATTTTGTTATAGGAAGCCCCTGTCACCGAGAAGCCCCGAAGCATTGACCCCAGGGACACCTGGATGCTCTTTGTCAGACAGTCCAACAAAGGGGTCAATGGCAAAAAAAGGAACACTGGGAAATCCAAAAAGTACAAGGTGAGCATGGAGAGACCTGGGCCTCCCGGTGCCCAGGGGCTGCTGCTGGATTTGGACTCAGAGGACTGGATCTTGGCTCTGTCACTTTCTGTGGGACCAGGAGGATGTCACTTAATGCCTCCTGGCCATCAGTCAGTCAGCAAGTATTTACTAAGTGCATACTATGTGCCAGGCACCGGATTAACTGTTGGGAATCCAAATAGAGCAGAGAGAAAGACAGCCGTCCCCTTAAGCAGCTAACATTCTAAAAAACCCCTGCTTCCTATCTGACCAGCTGTGAGCGGTCCTTTGGCCTAGTGGCATCTTATTGCGTGAACTAGCCTCATCTGTAAAATGGGGATGACAACCATCACTTCTCCTTCAGAAGGGGAAGACCCGGAGCTCTATAGTCCTGAGTCTATTGTCCTGAAAACCCCAGAGCTCTATAGTAGGGCTTCTAACCTGGGGCTCAGGGATAGTTTTCAGGGAGTCCATGAATGTGGGTGGGAGAAAGAACCTTGAATCCTGGTCCTAGAGGGCAGGCATGGATAGGACTGATTGGGAGACATTAGCAGGAGACAGATATTGACTCAATTCAAAGACATTCCTAACAATTAGAACTGTTCAACTATGGGATGAAGTCCTGTGAGACAATGAGTTCCCCATCACTGGAGAGATTCAAGTGGAGGCTAGGTGACCACTTGTTAGAGATGCTGTAGAGGAAGTTTATGGCTCGGGCTAGGGGTTAGACATGACAATTCCAGAAGTTCTATTCTATTCCAAGGTTCTATGATATGCCATAAAACTGACTTCCAGAAAGCAAAAGGGAGGGATTTCATAAGGATTTGTTGGATCGAAATGGATTGAGTCCAACAGCAAGATTTTAGGAAAACGCTTGTCTTGGTGCCACTGGGCCTTGATGTTTCTCCTTGTCATTTGTCTTTCAGCTTGGGCTCCCTGGGCCTCCTGGACCCCCTGGCCCTCAGGGCCCCCCAGGGTCTTTCATCCCACCTGAGGATTTATTGAAGGAATTCCAGCTGCTGCTGAAAGGTATGGGGATCGAACTTCTGCGGGTGTGGGTGTGTGTGGGGGTCATAAGAGGACTTCCTGAAGGTGCTGAAGAGAGAAACTGTGGTCCAGCAGTGGACATGATGGTGACTCCATTGACCTTGCCAGGTGAAATGATTTGTCTAAGGTCACACAGGTAGTAAATGGCAGAAGCAGGATTAGAACTCAGGTCCTCTTGAAGCACTGAGATCTTTCCAATATACTGTGTAGCTTCATTACCAGTCGGTGGGCCAAAATACATTAAGGACCCACTATGTACTGTGCTGGGCACTGGGGGTGCAAAAAGAGGCAAAGACAGTTCCTGCTTATAATCTAAGGTGTTGGCAAGGGAGGGCTGTGAAGGGGGGAAGACAGGATCAGGGGCAGAATTTGAACTTTGATCTTCCTGACTCCAAGGCCAGCGTTCCATGCACCCTAGTAAGCTTTTGTGAAGATAGAAGAATGTTAGACCTGCAGTCAGAGGATCTGGATTCCAATCCCGATTTTATCACTTTCTAACATCAGGAGAGCCCCAATCTCAGTTTCCTAATCTGTTGAATGAGGGAGTTGGACCAGATGACCCCCAATGACTATTTGAGCTCTAAAAGGATGATCCTATGATCCTAATTGTGTTTCTGGGCTTCAGTTTCCTCATCTGTAAAGGGATTAATTTAAATGAGCTGTCTGATCTCTTCCAACCTCAAAACCTATGAACTTTTTGCGCACTATGTGCAAGGCAACTGTTATTTCCTGCTGACAAATAAGCCCAGCCTTGCCTGGTCTTTCTCTGGGTCCCTTTAGCTCCCTTGGCCAACCAGACCAGACAGCCCTCACACCCTCCTCCCACCTCCTGTTCCCGGAGCTGCTCCCTTCTCCAATCTCCAATCTCCTCCCAAGCCTTCCTTCCATTGTCCTTCTCTCTCACCCACTCCCACCTGGCCAAGAGTTGGCTCCCCATGTAACATTATATCTCACTTCCTTCAATTAACCCAACTCAACCGCGGACTGTAACAGGGGAGGGTTACAAAGAAAAAGTTTTCTCCATTCGCTGCTGCAGCTGTGTATTCAAAAACCTCAAGAGTCGCAAATAGAGGCATTCAGTAAGATAAGCTACTCTGGGAAAACCTTCTCCCAAGTGAGTCCCACACTCTCGCCACCCACCGAAAAGGGGGAGGCTGAGAGCAGGATAAGGCCAATTTAAATGTTTCTCATCATGCTTTTGATCCTGTAGTGGTTCAGGTGTTAAAAAAAGGCAGGATTTCCCTAACCCCATCCAGCACCCCGGGCATATCGTCTATACCTTGGTATGTCTTTGTCTTCCATGATGCACTCCCAAGGGATGACTGGATGCATAAGCCAAAAAGGAAGCTGGCTCTATCTTATAATGTGAGGAAGTATAGGTAATCTTCATGGGACAGGTTGGAGGGTTGGCTGGGCAGCTCCTGTGGAAGGAGGATTAGCTTAGCTTTCCTCGGCCTCAAGGAAACAACTAGGAGCAACCGGGTGGAAGTCACAGAGAGACTGAACATATGGGATGCCTTTGGAGGTCTTCAAATGGATGACCACTTTTAGGGAGTATTGAAGGAGGAATTCCCTTAGGAGTATGGTTTGGACAAGGGCAGCTAGGTGGCACAGTGGATAGAGTGCTGGACCTGGAGTCTTGAATTCAAACCTGGCCTCAGACACTTACTAGGTGTGTGACCCTGGGCAAGTCACTTCCCTCCGTTTGCCTGTTTCCTCACCTGTAAAATAAGCTGGAGAAGGAAATGGCAAACCACTCCATTATCTTTGCCAAGAAAACCCCAAATGGAGTCACAAAGAGTTGGACACAACTGCAATGACTGAACAATAGTAACATTAGCTCCCAAGGTCCCTTCTGCTTCTAAAGTCTCCATTTCTGTGCCACGGAGAGCATGGGGGTGCTGTGGGGCTCTGTGTGTGGACACTAAGCTGCTGGTGTGGGGCAGAGCCATAACGCTGAGGGCTGGCTCACCCAAGGGAGAGCCTCTTTCCAGCTCTGTCTGGGGCTGGGTCCCTGTGCCCCACCCAGCTCCCTGCAGTACTGTCTGCCCCACGCTGCTGATGGCCTCCTTGCACTGCCCAAATGAGATCTGAGCCATCACAAGCTCCCCTGGTCGTGCATGGCAGTCTACGGAGTACTGTGCCCCTTACTTGGTATTGAAGCTTATCTCAACAGGGCACGGAACATCCTCTGGTGTCCGCCCAAGGAACTCAGTGGTCCTGGAGTGGGAGCCCTGCTCCCACTGCCCACCCTCCATTCCCTGGTGCCTTAAGGTTTTTTGACTGTGACCCTGAAAATCCATGTGATCCCGCCCCTTCCTCCCCCAGAGGCTGCTGTTTCTGTACTCACGTTGAGTTTGTCTTCGGTGAGATGCGGTGACACGCAGTGAGACTGGGGCACCTCTCAGTGCGCTGATTCCATCTCTTCAGGGATCTATGATTTCATTGGTGGGGTGCTCAAGAATCAGCAGGAGCTGCCTGTTGCCTCTTGGATAAAATACATTCTCTGCCATTTTACACTCTGTGTCTAGTCAACCTTTCCAGTCTTCTTACATATTACCCTCCTTCATGCAGCCTCCATTCCAGCCACACTGGACTTGCCCATTGCTCTCCACACACAACAGTCCATCTCCTGCCTCTGCGGCTTTGCCCAGGCCGTGTTCCCTGCCTGACATACCCTTCTTCCGTACCTCTGCCCTGTAGAATCCCCACCTCGATTCAGAGATCACCAAGTGTGGCCTCCCACAGCAAACCTCTTCAGATCCCCCAAGAGGCCTCCACACTGGAGATCACTTTGTACTGACTTCAAATGGCCTTGTCTGGGCACACATTGAGGGCAGGTCCTTTGGGCTGGAACTATTCCTTTTGTTCTCTTGCAACAGTGCCTGGCCTATCAAAGGGGCTCCACTCACTGAGTGAATGAATAAGTGAGTGAGTGAGTGAGTGAAAGAGGGTGCTCCTTCACACCATGACAGACGATTTCATGTTTGGTAAGGCCCCGAAGCATCATGTACCGGTGGCTGGCTCTGGTCATCAGGTGCTCCAAACTCACATAGGCCGGTCCTTAACTCAGATGCCCCCTCCTCCATGCAGCCTTCTCTTACAAACAACTCTTTCTTTTCACTTCAGAACCACTGTTGGTCAACACTTTATTGATCTTTCATCACCGTAGCTGCCGGGCTTTCACATTCACTTAGGTGGGCATTCCCAAATGATGGGGTAGGGGTGGGGAAAGGTTGGCCCCCTCTGTCTGTGTTAAATAATCCTTGAGTACAGATACTGCAAAATAGAAATGCATAACCTACCAGTTATTCCAAATCAGTAATAATAATTTCAGTGTTTGTAAAGAAAGGGTATTCATGTGGGCTCATGGGGACCACTGTGAGATTAGGAGGGACGTGGAGGGTTGGGTTGTGACCTTGATGATGAAGCCACTTGACAAATTGAAGGAATCGAGTGTGTTCAACCTGGAGAAGAGAAGACTGGGGGGAGGGGACACGTGAGAGTTGTCTTCAAGTGTTTGAAGGCTCTCATGTGGAAGAAGCTGCCAGTGGTTCTGTCTTGGCCCAAAGGGCAGAACCTGGATCAGTGGTTGAATTACAAAGAGGCAGATTTAGAACGGAAATTAAGAAAAGAAAAACCATGAAGTTTCTACTGATGAGAGCTGCCCCCAAGTGGAATGGGCATCCTTAAGAGGTGCTTGGCTGGCGCCTGTCAATGGGGATCGCCAAGTCAAGGCTGGCTGATTCCTCACTGGAGATGTTCTAGAGGGAATTCTTGTTCTGGGAGGAGTTGGGCTGGATGTCTTCTGAGGCTCCTCCCACGATGCAGTGGGAATGGCAGCTAAGGACAGTCCAGGCAAGACTGGGAATGTTTGTCAGCAGGAAGTAGCAACTGCTTCAGACGGGAGGTGCCCACAAAGTTCATAGGTTTCAGAGTTGGAAGAGATCTTAGAGGTCATTTATGTATTGAAAGTTGTTGGACATACTAGGAAGAAAGTGTGTGTGTGTGTGTGTGTGTGTGTGTGTGTGTGTGAGAGAGAGAGAGAATGACAGAGACAGAGAGATGCAGAGAGACAGAGTGGCAGAGAAAGAGAGATAGTGGCGGAGAAAGAAAAAGAGACATAAGAATCAGAGACAGACAGAGATGGTGACAAAGAGAGAAAGACAGAACAAGAAAGCAAGAGGGATGGAAGGGGAGAGAGAGATGGAAGGGGAGAGAGAGAGAGACAGAGAGACATAGACACACACACACAAACACATACACACAGAGAAACAGAGATGGAGACAGAGATGATGGAAAAAGAGACAGAGTAAGAAACCAAGGGAAGGATGGAAGAAAAGACAGAGAGAAGACAGAGACACAGAGAGACAGAGAGACCGAGAAGAGAGAGAGGATCAAATTTAGATTCAGGCTATCATTTCACACAGAGACAAAAATAGCTCAGTAAAAATAGCGCCAGAGGAAATAGCTCGTTTGGACTGACGGCCTATAATTAATGCCACTCAAATAGGACAAGCTAAAATAATTCCACTATGCCTGATGGTGAGACTCAAGACTTCTGCCTGAGAATCTCAAGCCATGTTTCTTAACATCTCAGTTTCATTTCCTGCCTGTCATCAGTGCCCACCCCGGTGATTCACTCTTCTCCTCTGGCAGTGTGTGACTGAGCACATGCTAGGTGTCATAGTCCCGTGGGGGTGACTGGGTCTGCATCTATGTCTGTTTGTGTCCATGCTCATGTCCATGTGGGTGTGTGGGGGGTGGAGAAGTAGAGGGGATGATTCGTATTGCTGTGAATGCTTGCTCAGCACTTGTTAAATTGGGATTTGTTTTGGAGAGTTTCTGTTTCTTTACTGAGGGGACTTCATGCTTAGCCTGGAATGAGAAGGATCTCAGGTTCTGTTCCCAGTGGCTAGTAAGGACTCCTTAGACCTAATCATATTATGCCTCAATTTCCCCATCTGTGACATGAAGGAGATTAGCCTATTCGATCAAAAGGATTGGAATAACACTTGTGAGTCCCCCTGGAACCCTGTGATGAAAGAAAATAAACCAATACTATGTCATTCTTGATGAAGGGTGAGAAGCTTGGCATCGGGGGTGACCTTGGGTCCTTGAGGCCAGGCCAGCTGAGTACAAACCCTGGCGGGGACTGCCAAGCTGGAAAGGCCTCAGGCACAGCCGTGGCACCTCCGAGGGCCTGCTGAACCCCTTGCCCGAGCAGGCAGAGGAGAATCCTAAGATCCTGGGGTCCCAGGTCTTGAGCCAGATGAGACCTGACGCCATCTAGCTCAATACCCTCTCTTTCTGGAGGAAGAAGATGAGGCCCAGGAAGGTTGAGTGAGTTGTCCAAGGTCACACAGGTAGTGACAGATGGAACAAAGCTACCAGTACTCTCAAGACACACCCCCCCTCCACCAAGTCACAGATGGGTGTGGTCCACAGCAGCGATAAAGAGGCTTCAAATATGCCAAGATGTCACTTACCAGGGTACCTGAATGTCACTGTCCACAGTGTCCACTGTCCCTCCTCACTGCCCACAGAATAATGTTCAAAGGTCTTCCATGATCTGGGCCCAACCCACTCTTCCATTCTTATCAAGGAGGCTGGGGAGCGCAGTGGATAGAGTGTTGGACTTGGAATCAGGAAATCCAGAGTTCAAATTCTACCCCAGATACTTAGTAGCTATGTGACCTCTCACAGCCTCAGTTTCCTCATCTGTAAAATGGGCTCTGAAGTCTCTTCGAGGTCAGGAGCTATGTCCTGTCTCCCTGCCCAGACTGTAAGATTTGTGGGCAGGGACAGTCTCATTCATCTTTGTAACCTCTTCATAGCTAGCAGAGGACCTTACATACAGTAAGTACTCAGTAAATGTTGGTACAATTTTTGAGTAGCATCTGGTATTCAGTACGCGACAACCCAGGAGAAAGCTCGCTGAGAGCTGGGGCATTCCCAGCCTGGCCCAGTAGCTACTTCAAAAATGTTTGAGGAACGGGCAAAGATCCCTTCAGGTAAGTGTTGAGACACCACAGCTCAGCCTGAGTTTTCCTGTGTTAAAATTCGAGGTATGGTGACCCTAAAACCCACTGTTTTAGACCTTGAGCATTAGACTAGAAGCTCCTTGAGGGCAGGATGTTTTTTTACCTTTTTTGTATTCTTTTTCCATATTTTGTATTTATTTGTATTGTTTTTTTGTATATACTTGTATTTGCATTTTTTGTATTTTGTATTTGTATCTTGTATTTTTTTTTTAAATTTTGTATTTATAGCACAATGCCCCGCACGCAGTGGGTGCTTAATAAATGCTTGCTGACTTGGGCAGAGAGAATTCCAGGCCAGGCTCTTGTTCCTGTCCCTGATGCTTACTAACTAACCCCTCTGAGTCTGTTTTGGCCCCTGAGCTGAAGTTTCTGACAGGAAAGAGGAGAGAAAGGGGAGAATGGGGAAGAGCCAGAAAGTTGGATAACTTGGGTTCAAATCTTGCCTCTGACAATTACTACACAGGTGGCATTCCTAGGCCTCAGTTTCCTCAACTGAAAAATGAGGCCTCTGAGGTTCCTCTCAGCTTTAAACCTGTGCCTGCACTTCTGCCTGGGGCAGGAATCCTTAACCCAGAATCCCAGGAGGGGTTTGGAGAACCGTTTTCCCAGATAATCGGCTTGCTTTGCATTCCCACACCCTTTCTCTTACCCATTTTCAAAGCTGATGCTGAGAAGGGGTCTGTAGGCTGCTGCAGACCCCCTGCCCTTGGACCTCGTGGTCCAGGACACAAAACAGGCGAAAACTCTAAAACTTCCTTTTCAGGACACTTGGTGAAGACGCCAACCTCAGGCGGGGGCATGGATTTTCCGGCCCTAAGGGGTCTCCCCTTCCCTTGCCCCTACCCCCAGACTGTGGCTGGTTTGCCCCATGCTTGGTCCTCGTATCCCCCTGTAGTTATCTCAGGGCCAGCCCACAGTAGGCACTTAAGGAGTTCTGGGTCATTCTCTTGGCAGGGGCGGTGAAGCATCGGGAGAAGATGGGTCTGAAGCCGTGTGAGGACTGTGGGGGCCGGGAAGCTGAGGCTGAGGTGGAGGACAGGGTGGCCGAAGAGGAGGACGTCCTGGCCCTGGTAACCGGGTCCCTTGCACAGAGCTACAGACCTCACCGGGTGGAGGCCGCCTTCCACTGCCGGCTGCGAAAGAACATGTCCATAGAGCGGCGATCCCTCCAGGAGCTGCAGCAATATTACCTGGTGAGTGGGGACCCGCGGGCCAGGCCACTCAGCTCTGGGGCCCCTCCGTCCGGTCCGTGCTCCCAGCCCAGTGAGGCAGCAAGAACAGCCGACATTCCAAGAGCACAGTAAGGAACAGACGTGTGCCCATCTGCTCTTCACAAATGACCCACACAACCTCAGACAAGGAGCCCAGGCATTCACTAAGAGGCCCGTTTCTACAGATGAGGGGATGGAGTCTCAGAGAGGTTCAGAAATTTGCCTACAGTCACACAGCTCCTAAGCGGTGGGGTGGGATTTGAATCCAGGTCTCTGCTGTCTTGAAGCCCACTATTTGCCTCTGCTTCTCCGCAGAGTGTACAGTCAGGGAGCATAGAGCGTGACAAAGTCCAGGACCTGGGAAGCACCTGCCCACCTCCTCAAGGGCACCTGGCTTCCCACGTGTGGCCACAGGTCACCCTTCCTGCCACCTTGGGTTCCCAGACAACACAGCTTCCCACACTTGCAAAGGCTTGAAGAGGCTCAAGCCAAGACACTGAAACTGAGATCTGTTTTTTCCAGCCTGGAAAAGAAGGATCGTTTCACCGAGGTCTGGGGCTGAACATCACCAGCGGTCAGTACACAGCCCCCATCACTGGATTCTACACCTTTGCCGCTACCCTGTACATCGGTAAGACCCGAGCCCCTGAGCAAGGAGCCTTGGGTCACTCTCGCCTTTAGATGATTGGCAAAGAACAAGCCTGGACTTGAAATGATGCCAGGCGGTAGAATGGGGACAGGTTGGCCTGAGAGTGAGGAAAACCTGGGTCTGAATCCACTTCAGGTCCTGCACAACTCTGGGCAAGGCCTCTGACCTTTCGATGTTTCCCTACGTGTAAATGGGGGGCAGGGGCAGGTTCCAGACGGCCTCAGATGAACACAACTCCATGGTCAGATTCACTCCACTTCCTCATCAATTCAATTTAACAAACATTTTACCTAGTGCTGTGTGCAAGAAGCTACCCTAGGCGTGGTCATACAAAGAGGACTGATTTAGTCTTAGCCCCTAGCTTCTAGGAAGCTTACAATTGAAGAGCAGGCACGCCCAAGGAGGTATGATAGGAGATGTTGGGTATGATTGGGGCAAGAATGGGAGGAGCTTCAGCCTGGGGCAAGAAGCGGCCGTTTATGACCAATCTCCATCCAAAACCTGCCTTCCCTGACCCCCTTAACGCCAGCACCTTCCCCTGGAGATCAAAGCTTGTTTACACTTAGTTTGCAAAGTATCTTCCCCTTAGACTGGGAGCTCCTTGGCAGCAGGGACTGACTTTGCCTTTCTTTGCATCTCCAGTGATTAGCACAGTGCCTGGTACATGGTAGGTGCTTAATACATGCTTGTCAACTTGAACTGTTGACCTGAGGAGGACCTTGAAGGAAGGGCAGGATTTCAGTGAGCAGAGGTGAGGAGAGAAGACATCCCAGGGATGAGGGAAAGCCATGACGTCACAGACTTAGAATTCTGTTTGGGTCTCAGTTTCCTTATCTGTAAAATGAGGTTGTGGCGATGGGGGTTGGGGTGTTGGAGGTGACTAATTCCCAAGTCTCATCTAGCTCTGAATCAATGATGCTCTCAGAATGGAGGTCTGAGAGGTTCTGAGGCAGAGTTCATAGGACCATAGCTCTAGAGCGGAATGGTAGTCCCTCATTTTACACATGAGGAAACTGAGGCCAACAGAATGATACAGCTTGGCCAAGGTCACCCACCTAGTGGGTAGCAGAGCTGGGATCTGAGCCTGGGCCCTCTAACTCACATCTGGTGGTTTTCCATTGTACCACATGTCCGTCTTAGCTGAGGACGGGTACACCAAAAGTTGGAGGCAAGGTCTCGGCTTCTGCATAAAGGAGATCACAGTTGCGCTTTCCCTGCCCTGGTCAGACCCCATTAGAGGTTGTGCCCATTTCTGAAGGCCACAGTCTAGGTGGGATTTGTACAGTAAAGGGAGACTTGGCTGGGCTAGGAATTTGAAAGTATACCACAGGGCAGGGGCTCTTCACAAAAGATAAAGGATTGTAAAGGGAATCAATTATGTTGAAATAAAGGTGTAATTTTCCCCCATCCAAATTCGTGGATCCCCTGAATTTATCTGTGCCTGCCAGGTTAAGAATCCCTGCTGTCGGGAAATGGATTGAAGGAATTGGGGAAGAGGAACCTCAGAGGGTGTGCAATTGTTGCTTTCTAATATGTGAAGGTCTCTCAAATGGTAGAGGAGATGACTAGCTGGGTGGCCCTGGGCAAGTAACTTAACCTTTCTAAGAGTCAGTTTATCATCTGAAAAATGTGAAGGTTGAACTACACAGCATCTCTGGCCCCTCTCAGTTCTAAACGTCGTTGTTCTCCAAGCTTCCAGCTGGTTCTCCACTTGGCCAGTTTTGCGGGTGACTGCCCAGCCCCACTTCCTGGCCCCCTTCCTCAAGATTGCCCTGTCCTATCTACACCCTCTCCTCACTGTCTGCACAAGCCGGTTTTCTCTAGATGTTCTCCCAGCTTCCCTCCGGCTGGGGGGGGGGTGGGACACACTAGTGACCCGTCTTCTCTTGCTTGGCAGTGCACGGTGGGGACCATCAGAAGAAGGGGCAGCCTCGGTCCCGGGACCGCCTGCGGGTGCTGATCTGCATCCAGTCTCTGTGCCAGCGTAACGTGTGAGTGTGCATTTGGAGGCACAGCCAGCTGGCCCCATCAGATAACCCAGCAATTCTGCCGTGGTGGCCAGGAGGCGTGGGGCATGGGTCCCAGGGTGGAGATACCAAGGGCCACGCTGGCAATGGCAAGGTTTGAAGATGGCTTGCTTGAGGAAAGTTAAGAGGCTCAGACAACTGCCTCGTCCCCTTTGGCTCTGATTGGAACGTTCCAACACCCAAGTCCTGCGTTGTAACCCAGCCTCTGACACAGCCCAGCAGATTTGTTCTAAGCCTCAATTCACCAATTCCCAATTACAAACATAGCTCTCATCCTGAACTCAGGAGCACTGTAGATTTAAAGCCACAAGGGACCTTAGAAGGCATTGAGTCCAGTGTGGAAACTGCTTCAGAGAGGTTTTGATTTGCTCAGGGTCACACAGCTATAAGTGCCTAGCCGGATTTGACCCCAACACCCAGTACAGTGCCCTATCAACCATGCCACACTGCCCCTGTAGCGATGTCTTCTGATAACTAGAGAGACACTTTGAACTTTTAGTCAAATTTATAACAGAGAAGTAAATAAAACACAAACAACATAATTACGGGGAGAGAGACCACTCACAACTTGGGGGTGTCAGGAAAGTGTTGCGGTAGGATGTGACACACAATCAGAGCCTGAAAGAAAGTTAGGAGATTGACCTGAGGAGGGAATGCATGACAGAGGTGGGAGTACTGCCTGTGCAAAGAGATACTGGTGGGAGATTACAAAAAGAAGTTGAGTGAGCCTGTCAGGGCCCCCTGCCTGCGATGGGCCCCTGGGCTGGGATCCTGGAGAGAAACGTGCACTCCCCGCAAAGGGGATGTTCTCTCGGTAGCATCGCATCCCAAGCTGGCACTGACTCCTCTCTCTGTCTGTTTGGGCTCACAGATCTCTGGAGGCCATCACTGGCCTGGACAACAGCAGTGAGCTCTTCACCATCTCAGTGAACGGAATCCTGTACCTACAGGTAAATAATGAGGGCCCAGGGCGGGGGGGGGGGGCTGCAGAAATAAGCTGCTCCCACAAATGCCACCTCTGACCCAATCCTCGCAGGTAAAATCAGGGGGTTAAAGCAGAACAGAGCTTAGTTAGGTCATCCAAACTGTACCCCTTCCACCTTCCCCATTTTACAGAAGATGAAACTGAGGCCCCCCAAAAAGGGAAAGCTCTGAGCCTCCAATTCTTCATCTGTACAATGGAGGATAAGGATGCACCATCTCACTGCGGAGGGAGTGCTGTGCAGCCCACACAGTGACCCGTGGATTCTGCCGACAGCACCTCTCTTCTCTGTACAATCGTCAGCAACGGGGACAAAGACTAGAGACCTGCAGCTGGAATGGATCTTGAAGGGCACTGGGTCCTTTTACAGAGGGGGAAACTGAGGCTGGGGGGGCCCATATGTCCTGACCTTCCCCGAGTGTCCTTTCCCTCCCCCCTAAACAATCACGCATATACCTCCCCACCTACATGTTGTGTCTACCTAGAAGGAAGTAATCAGTCAATAAACAAGTGTTTATTAAGCACCTACTACACGCCGGGCACTGGACTAAATGTTGGGGATACAATCAAGAAGACGTGCGCAAACTGGCATTTACAGAATTAATAGAGAGTACACTTAGGAGGGAGGGGGAGGCCCTGAGGCACAGAAGCTTCTTGAGGACAGGGGCTGTCTTTGCAGCCCCCCCCCCCATTTAACCCAGTGCCTGGCACATAGTAGGTGCTTGTGAGAGGCTTATCATACTGGATTCGCTCTTCTCCAAAAGTGGATCACCAAGTGATGGATTTTTTTCAGATCATCCACTGAGATGAGGAGGGGATGGCATCTGCCATTTATGTTCAAACCCTGCCTTAGACACTTATCACTCCCAGCCTCAGTTGCCTTCTCTGTAAATTGGGATAATAACAGCATCAACCTGCCGTGGTTGTTTCGAGGATCCAGTGAGATATGGAAAGTGCTAACGCGCTCTATAAACATGAGCTATAGACGGGAAGATGGATGAGTGATTCAGAGAGAAGGTGCTCCAGGGAAGAGGCCAGTTTATATAAATGCATGGTGGTGGGAGATGGCCTATTAAATTGGGAGCATGGCCGATCATCCATTTTGGTTGGATCCAAGCGTCTGAGAGAGGAAGTATTACGAATTACAGATGAAAGGGTAGGTGGGAGCCAGACTGCAGAGAACTCGAAATGCCAGCCGAAAAGGGAGCCAAAGAACATTTCCAGAAGGCTCAGGATGACATGGTTAGATCTGTGTCTGAGGAAGACGATTCTGGCAGCTGTGCAGAAGGAGGGACTGGAGAGGGTACAGACTGGAATCAGGGAGACCAATTAAGAGCCTCTGCTAATCAGCATCCAGCATTTATTAGGTGCCTAGTGAGTGCTAGGCTCTGGGTGCTGAGGATACAAAAGACAGAAATGAATTAGTTCCTGTCCTCAAGGAGTTTCCATTCTATTAGGAGAGACAACCTATGCACAAACTATGTACTAGGTGATTTGGGGAGGTAGAAAGGGGAGGTGATTCTTCTAAGAGGTGCTCGAGCTGAAGCTTAAATTAAGAAAGAGAGGGCTTCTGATGAGGTGGGAAGAGAGTCTACTCCAGACCCGGGGAGCAGCCGGTACAAAGGAAGGGAGATGGACGTGGACCGCTGTGTGTAGGAAGAGAGGAAAGGCCATTTTGGCTGGACCGCTGAGCGTAGAAGGGGGGCAGGCTGCAGTGGGCTGGTGAAGGCCTTTAGATGCTGGTGACGTTCCTATTTTATCCTAGAAAATGAAGGGGGTCACCTGGGTTTGTTGAGGAGGGGGAGTTACATGAACAGACCTGAGTTTGGGGAAAATCCTTTTGGCAAAGGAGAGAATGGGCTGAAGAGTGGAGAGTTGAGGCAGAGACCTCTTAGGAGGCAAGTGTGGTAGCCTAGGCCTGGACCGTGTTGGTATCCACGTGGACAGAGAAGGCGATGGTGCCATGACGTGTGGCCACTGACACGACTTGGGACTGATTGGCTGTGGGCTGATGGACAGCAGAGTCAAGGATGCCTCCAGTCCATCGCTCCTTTTTCCATGTCAGTTTTCACTATCAGAGGCAAAGGGACCAGGGCACGTGTGGACAGAAGCTCCTCACTCATTCTCCCTGTTACATCTCCCCCTGCAGGCTGGTCAGTATGCCTCCGTCTTCATAGATAACGCTACCGGATCATCTCTCACCATCCGCAGCGGTTCGGATTTCAGTGCTGTTTTCTTAGGGGTATGAATTCCTTGAACCCTCAAGCGACTCCAGTGTCTTCATCTCCCTTTTTCCACTGTAAACTGAAGTAGCAGCAAGTTTTCCTGGGGAAGGAGCCAAACTCTTCCCAGTCTAGGTGCCGCCTCGCCAAAGACTGCCAAACTTTTTGACCTCTCTGCAAAATGGCCACCCCACCTCACTCCAGAGACAACCTCTACAAGACGGTGCATTAGGGGTTGATCGATCGAATACTTCGAAGAACAGAAAAATGAGTGATCTATGTATGAAGACTGTTTTCTCCTGTGAAAATGAGGTGTTTGTGTAGCATTTGTCATGAAAAAAAATTTTTTTGAATCAACTTACTGGAAATCTAGCATATATTGATTTCTGGTCAGACTAACCCTTCTAACTTCTCTGTAAATTCCCCGTCTTGCCTTGAGAGCTGATAGGTTCTGGCTGCACAATCTGCTGGACAGCTACCAAATGCCTTAAAGCTATACTCTTCTCGCTTGACGAGGTGGTTTTGGTTAATGTGGGAGAGATCTTACTTGCATTTTCCATCTTACAGTTAAAACATCTGTCACCCAGCCCAAATCAGTGGGTTCAGTTAACTCAATTCCTCGTCTCCCTGAGGATGAAGGTGAAGTTGGTTTGCACAGGGCATCCAGGTGAAGGGAGGGGGAAGATGTTCACCATCATGCCTGCTTGAGGGCAAGGGAAGAAGCTACATGCCTCTGAGGCTTACTATCCTGCAAGCTCACTCAATCCTCAGATGCACTGGTCCTGCCCAGTGACACCAGACGCGGGAATGCAGAGCACGGCTATTGCTCACCCCACTCACTGCTTTTCGTCTTCCCTGGGGATTTCTCCCTCCTCTCCTGTGACTTAGATCTGTCTACAGAACCCACGAAGATGGCTGTTAGCCCTGAGGGTCAAGGTGAGCATGGACTCTGGCTGTGGCTGGCCCCATGCAATGTTGGAATAGCCCATAACCTCGTTAGGCATTTGTGGCAGGGAGGGGTCCCAGTCTGAGGCTGGTTTTCAGGCATCACTCATGTCCAGAGCCTATGGAGTTAGTTCATGAACCTTATTTTCATCTAGCAGAGATGACTAGGACTTGTTTTCCAAATGGTTTTTCCTTCTTTACTAAGTGGAAGGATGACTTTTTCCCATCCCCAGTAAGATGCTGAATCACTGTGGGGCTTGATGCATCATCTGGGAGGTCAGGCTTCTTATACAAATTGGGTTTGGGTTGTAACCCTGGGGGCTCAAGAGCTGAACACCCAAGATGAAGGTCTCCTTCTGGTACCAAATTGGCCCCATCCTGCCCTTCTGCTTTCCTGTTGGCTTGGAAACTACCACTGGGAACCATTTCTTCATCTAACCCACCGTGGCTGGCAATTTGGACATAAGGTAGGAGGTCAACAGGCTTGCTGATGCAGAGCTGGAAGGGACCTTAGAGGTTAAGTCTAACCCTTCACTTTAGGAGGGACTGAGGCCCACAGAGGCAAGGCCAGGTCACCCATCTAGTAAGCAGTGGCCAGACCAATAGGTGAGGCAGCTTTATAAAGTGTCCCCTGTGGGGTGGTCCTGCCATTTCTCTCTAATGCCCAGAGGACAGTTCAATCTCCCACCATGAAGATCAATGGACCTTCACAGGTGGCTCAGTTTGACTGGCTGCACACCGCATCTAGTTTTCCTCTCAGGTCTGTCTGATCCTGACCCAGAAGAATGTTGACCCAAGTACAGAACTGTTGCTCAATGGCTCCTTTGGCCCTTGTATGGCTCGGAGCTCCTGGCTGGGAATGCCAGACACAAAGCCCAGCAGACCTGAAGGAGCCTGCTGGGCATGACCTCTAAGGACATGGGGAGGCCTGGATCAGTCGGTCGGCTTAGGGGGCATGTGAAGAAGGCTAACGTTAGGTAGTTTTCAAAGTTTATCCTCTTTGCTCCCCAACCCCAGAATTGCCGAAGAATGAAAACATGACAGACAGCTGCAGTGAACCTCTAAAGTACAGAGACCCTGATTTCTCAGTAAAATGTGTACCCACCCTACCTAGAAAGTGTAACAGGCAATTAAAAAAGACCTTTTCCTTTCTGATAAGGCGGCAAGGAGGCCAAACCCTTCCTCAGATGAACGTTTCCAACAGACACACGTCAAACAGCTAGACTTTCCCTTGGAAAAACCCAAACGTCAACTTCATTCTCATCAAACTCTACGTATTACGTTTTGTGGAATTATATTTATTGTACAATATTGTCAAGCGGATGGTATTTACGTGACTGCTGTTCTGTGTGGGTGTTGGAATGAGTGCTTGAGAGCTAAATGTGGAAAAGCAGGGAACACCGAGGACATTTTGCAAGCAAGGAGACCAGCAACCAGCAAGAGGCACCGGCCTCTTCCAGAGTTCCTGAACGACAGAGGAGACAGACGATGGCAGAGTTGGGAGCCTAGATCCTAAACTTCTAACTGACTCTAGCCCAGGCCCTGTAGGGCTTCACCCCAGGACGCTGAAACAAGGCTAGACACTTAGTGAGCCCACCTATAACTGGCCTCTGCAGGACTCTGCCCCCACCCCAGCTCCCCGCCTCCTCCCACCAGAACTAGCCCCTGGGGCTGCGAGGGTGAGTGAAGGCTGTGGCTAGGACAGAGCCCACAGGCTTTGAAGGCTACGGGTCCAAGCCTGCCCTGCTCCTTGCTCTGAAAAGACTGAGCCTCTGGGAAGTGGAAAGACATCTCTCAAGCACGACGTCTGGGTGGTATTTTTTCTGCACAAAGACATGAGTTAAATAAATGCAGTGCTATTTCTTCACTGACTGACTTTATTTTCACCCGATGAGCTTTTTTCTCAATGCTAGGATTCACGCTAAGAGAAGGCTGAGGTTTGCCAGCCCCAGGCTCTGGTCCCTATTTTCTCAGGCATAACTGAGATAGGGGCTGTACACAAACTAGCGAATTCTTAGGAAAAGTATGTCCGAGTCTGCTCTGAGATCCTTCCACTCATGAGGATTCAACAGACTCAACTCAGCCAAGTGCTGGCTTGCTTCTCTTCCTAGTGTTTGGGGGGGCTGTGGAGACAGAGACGAAGAACAACAGGGCTAAGGATTTCCCAGCGTTGGGGATGCTGGCAGGACACGGGCCCAGGCAGAGAAGGCTGCATGGGGGCAGTGACCTCTGAACAAAGCCAGAAGAGAGGATGGAAGAGGTGGGGACAGGCACCTATTCTAGACACGCGGTCACGGTCCCTCTGAATGGTCAGGAGACAGGAGGCAGGAGGTGTGTCCTGAGGGCGCACTGGGGATTCCTGGTGATCGTGCAGGCCACTGAACTGCCTCACATGCACCTGTGTCTCTCCTCCTCTGCCCTCAAAGCCTAACCGCAGGGCCTCCCTCATCTATCCCTGCCCACTCCCCACAAGTCTGACATTTTCCTTGAGCAAGACCGTCCAGCCTAAAATGCTTTTCTAAACCCAAGCCCAGGATGGAAACATTTTAATCTCAATTCTGTAATCCACTGTATGAGCTACCCCTTCCAACTCTGTGCCATCTGCAAACCCATTAACCTTCACATTTATGCCTTTATTGAAGCTACTAAAAAGAGCTTGGTCTTACACTAGAAACCAGCTGTCGGGCTGATGGCGAGCATTCATTGACACCCTCTCAGTCTACCAAAATCAGCCTAACAGGGTTCCTTCTATCTGCTACAGAAGGACAATGCCTGGCTGGCTGGGGGGTCAGGACCATCCATCTGGGAACTTCAGGGATTCTCTCTCAGGTGCAGATTCAGTTATTAAAAGGCTCGGGGAGTCTACACTGAAATACCGTGTGACATTTGGCTAAAATCTGAAGACCATGCCATGAAGTGAGCTAAGCGGGTTAGAAAAAACAAACAAACAACCTTTATTTACAACCAGAGCTTGGCGGAATACTCAGAACACATAATGCGCACACATGAACCTAACTTTTCTCTTGAATCAATGCCATGCTGTCCTCTCTGCTGCCTGGCGCCTTCCTTCACTTCCCTATCCGCACGACCATCACGGTGACGTTGTCTGCAGAGCCGCGCTGCACGGCCTTGGTCGCCAGACGGTTGCAGGCAGCTTCGTACCTGGCATCGAGGGCCGACTTCCCTTCCCGGGTCTGGATCTTCTCATCCTTCTCTCACAGATGGAAAACCAGCAGTTACCAAACGTTGTGTTCCCTGGCCCTCTCACTCATTATTCCCAAGGAAAGATGCGCGGGGAGCACAGGTGCCACCCTGGAGTAGTCCGGGGGCCAACTGGTGACTGAGACTCAGAGACGAGACCCAAGTGCCTTCCTAGGGCAAGGACGGGTGGGGACAGCCCACTGGGTGCAGGGGGACAAAAAGTCTGGGAGATGGCATCAAAACACATTAAATGACATCAACTATAGTAACTCCCATTTATACAGCCACATTTTAAGGGCTGACAGGGCCCCTTGGCTGGTAAGGAATGGAGAAACAAGGAAAACTTTTCAGTTCTTTTCTGAAAACTGAAGTGTACAAGACCAGCCTATGCCCCCAGGACATCAATCTCCTACCTCAAGGCAGGACAAGATGAAGGTCACAGCTTCCTCAGGGGTGAAGACCTTGAAGAGCCCATCACAAGCCAGCATGATGAACCTGAAAAGAGAGGGGGTGAGGGGGGAATAAATAAATAAATAAACAGACAAGACACATGCACAGAGACACACACATATACCCCCTGCAGAAATGGACCAAGCAGTTAGAAAGCCTGGGTCCTTCCTGACCCTGGGCCTTGCTCTTTTTTCATGACACATCCTCCATGTCCTCTGCACCCTCAGTGCTTTTGGGGGGCCCCTTTAGGAGTGACACAGATGCTGGGGAGCAGACTGAAGAGAGTGACCAGGACAGTCAGGGAGGGGATGTCCTGTGGACCATCCCTTTTCTGTTAACTGGGTTCGCTGTGCACTGTATGTACATTAACTTGCTACCCAGGGCTGTGACCTCGCTGGATGGACACTTACTCTACTAATACAGACCAGTAACTGTCTGGTGAGAAGGGGCGGAGGCCCACACACAGAAGGCCATCGCCCCGGGGATCTTTAGCCTGGAGAAAGAGAGTCAGAGGTTGACAGTGGCTGCTGTCAAGTCAGGAAGGCGACTTCCTGCTTGGCTTTGGGGAAGAGATGGGGCAGAGTTTCAGAGGCAAAGATCTCTGTCTGGCCACAAGGGAAAGCTCCACCAGGCAAACCAAGGTCGCCAGGAAGCAGGGCCATGGAGGCTGAGCGCCCAGAGGACCTCGCCAGCCCCTCCGAGCTCCGACATGAAAGGCCTCAGATGGAGGGGATGGGAAAGCGGGAGGTGGGACCCACGGAAAGCTGCCCTTCAGAGAGAGCCTGCCCTGCTCCTGGAGCTCCGTGCCATCCAGGGGGCCCCTGGAACATGCTGCATCTGAGCCCAGGCCGGGGGCTGGAGTCACAGCCCTGAGGCGCCGAGGGTCTTCCCACACCCTTCACTCCTGGGGACGCATGACGCATCCACTAAGTGACACAAGTGGCCCGCAGACCTTGCCAGGGCATTTTCATCATGCGGTCTCCACAAAGTAAAACGAGGGTCTCTGTTTTCCCTTGATAACAAGGATCTCTGGTAATGCATTTTCAAAAATCCCTCCACCCGCAGAACGAATGGGCAGGTTTGTTTTCCCACACGAAATACAACGCAGACGAGGCCCTCGGCCAGGTGGGACGTCCCTCTGCCTCTCTGCTTCGCGCCTCATCCATCTGCACACCCACATTTTTCCTTTGTGAGTCTGGCACGCAGGGAACAGGAAGGTGTAAATCGAGGCAAAGGAGGGAAAACCCAAGGGCAGAGGGGAGGCTGGGCAGCACCTGGTCCTGTGGTCAGCAGAATGAGAGCCAGACTGCTGGGACGAGTCCTTGGGGTAGTGGGGGGCGCAGGGATGGCTATGAATCATGCATTAGACACTGAAGGCGCTGGGGTTCCTTACCAGAAAGGTACAACCAGAAAGGGCACAAAGTAAAACACCCAGGTTGGCTCCAGGTTTGTTTATGTGTTCATTAGTAGGGAGGCTGCCTGGGATATGCCCAGGGTCATGCTGCTGGCAGTCACCAGGTAAGGAGGTGGTCACCATTGGCCCTGTGCTCTGATCAGCACCCCCCCACCCCCTCTTCCCTGCACCCTCAAGGGCAGGGACTGTCATCTGCTTGTCTCTGTGCCCTAGGTGGCCCTCAGAGTCCCCCCACACCTCCATGTGCCAAGGGGAGGGGCAGCTGGGCTTTACCTGTCATTCTGAGTAAGCTGGCAGCGCTTGATGTCTGGCACAGAGGTGACACCGCAGCGCTTGTACTGCCCATCCCCAATGGAACGGGAAACCTCCAGCACGCCAAGGACTCTGCCATCCCTGGAGAAAAGAAATGCAGTCAGCTCCTCCCCACGCTGACCAAATAGCCACTCAGAAGGGCGGAAACGGGACGAGAGAGAAGCGAAACAGGAATGTCAAGGATGCTAGGATCACAAAGACTGCCTCAAAACATTTTTACTAAAGAAAAAGGCTTTACAAATGTATTTCCCATAAGGCTAGCAACTGTTTTCTTTTTTCCCCTTCATTTACAAACATCAATTTAAAAAAGCTCAATCCTTGGAGCAGCTAGATGGTGCAGTGGACACAGTACCAGCCCTGCAGTCAGAAGGACCTGAGTTCAGATCCGGCCTCGGACACATGACACTCACTAGCTGTGCGACCCCGGGCAAGTCACTTAGCCCCAACTGCTCTCACAAAAAAAAAAAAAAAAGCAACTCAAACTTTTCTTCATTTTGAAAGGGTTTAAAATACATCCATCAATAATCACTCATGGAAATCATCCAAAGTAACCCTAACGATGTCACAAAACCTGGACAACCCCCACAAGAACTCTCTCGGCTCCCCAGCCTAGACCTCTGCCCTGCAAATCAAAATGAGTCTGAGGTACCACATCACACCTATCAAATTGGCTAACATGACAAAACAGGAAAATGATAAATGTTGGAGAAGATGTGGGAAAATTGGAACACTACTGCATTGTTGGTGGAGTTGTGAACTGATCCAACCTTTCTGGAGAGCCAATTGAAACAATGCCTAAAGGGCTATAAAACTGTGCATACCCTTTGACCCAGCAATAGCACTTCTAGGGCTGTATCCCAAGGAGATCACACAAACAGGAAAAGGACCCACACGTACAAAAGTATTTGCAGCTCCTTCTGCGGTGGCAAAGAATTGGAAATTGAGAGGATGCCTATCAATTGGGGAATGTGGTATATGAATGTAATGGAATACTGTTGTACTATAAGAAATGACGAGCAGGCAGACTTCAGAAAAACCTAGAAAGAACTGTATGGTCTGAGGCTGAGTGAAGTGAGCAGAACCAGAAGAACGTTGTCTCCAGTAACAGCCACGTTGTGTGATGACTAATATTGATAAACTTGACCCTTCCGGCAATGCAAGGATCTAAGACATCTCCAAATGCCTCGTGATAGAAAATGCTCTCCACATCCAGAGAAAGAACCATGGAGTCTGAATGCAGGTTGAAGCATACTATTTTCTTTCTTTTTTTTCTGTTTCTCCTTTCTTGTGGCTTTCTTGGTTCTAATTCTTCTTTACAACAAGACTCATGTGGAAATAGTTTATGTAATTATACACGAATAGCCTACATCAGACTGCATATTGTCTTGGGGAGGGGGGAGCAGAGGGAGAGGGAGGAAATGAAAGTTGGTCTTTGGCTAAATCTATGAACTCTCTGTTTGGGTGGAAGTCTGCTGAGTGAGCCACGGGCAGGTGTGAAAGGAAGCAGCTGGGGCCATTTTTCTCCATTTCCTCCCCAACTGTTTAAAAAGCTTTGCATATTTACCTAAATGTAAAATTTAAAATCCAAGTGCGCTTAAATACCCAATATATAAACAAAATGAACTTAAGGACAATTAATAAAAATGCCAAGACTGAAATACTGCATAAGACAGTATGGTCTAATGAAAAGAATCAGGTGACTTGGTTTTTAATTCTGGTTCTGAAAGGAACTTCTTTCGTGACCTCTGGCAGGTGACCTAACGACCAGGTGAAGTGAAGGGCTGAACTAGCCTTCTGGTGCCTTCCCAGTGCAAACAGGATCCCATTAACACCTGGCTACAATCTGTGAAGGGCTGCAGGCAAGACTTGCCCCCGAATTAGCCAGAGCACTGGAATGGGCACTGACTCCCCCCAGCATGCACTGCTTTCAGGTTTGTGGAGGCAGTGACTTTCAGAGAACTATTCTAAACTTCAAAGCTGTTTAGGGGAAGTTCGGGCTAACCCTGGCCGGCATGCTGACTCAGTGGAGACATGACATACCAGGGGCAGGACTTCTACATCGCTGGGGAGGGGGCTGCAGCAGTGGGGGCCTGGCAGCAGAGCCAGGCTGTCCCAGAGCTCGTTCTGACGCTCGGCCTCCTACAGACACCGAACAATCAGTGAGCAGCTGTCCAGGGGTACAATTGCACTAACTGGAGCCCTTCCCTCATGCACAAGCTTCTGCTCCATGGAGGCTTGGTGAGGCCTCAGCCCTTCCCAAGGCCTGTGCAGCCTGGGCCACTAAAAACTAACTCAGGAAGATCCTGAAAGGCCTCACTCCTAGAAAAGCAAAGGGCAGAGGAGTCAGCGGCTCCCCCCAAGCTCCATGTTCTCTCTTATCTCCAGCAGAAAACATGGCCTGCGTGGCAGAAGAACCAGGGGCCACTGCGTTCTTCTGATAACACCATGGCTTCCCGGAGGGGCAATGCCCAGCCTCCTGGATGCGCTGGCAGGTGATAAACAAAGGCACCATATGGGAGCCAATGATATGGAAAAGAAAAAGGCAGAATGTCACTTTCCAAGGGAGTCATGGAGCCCCAGCCTACTCCCCAGGAGGCCCTTTGGGGCCCCGGCCAAGATTGTCTGGGTCTTTCCTTCAGGAGAAAGATCTGACTGATGGGACCCAGGACGAGTGGAGGCCACAGGAGAACACCAGAAGGAGGTCTGAGGTGGAAGGAGCAGACCCAATGCCTGTGGACGGTGGAGAACCGCACACACGCCTGGGGTAGCTGGCCAAGCTGCAGAGCACGGTGCAAGGGGGCTTACGTCCGGTTTGTGCCGGGACGAGTGAAATCGTTAAGATTAATTCAGATAAAGCTGGGAAGATGTGTATGGACTTCAGAAAGCAAAACGAGCCGGTGCAGGAGACAGGTGAGGACCGTCCCACCCCCTGCTGCTACCTGGGGCAGAGACTAGAGGGGAGGCAAAGGGGGGTGGGCTTCAGATGTTTGCTGTACTATTTATTTGTTACAAGGGAGGCCTTCTAGGGGAGTGGGAAAGAGAGAAGAAGAAAAGACAAGGACACAAAGAGAACAAAAAAATACACAGGAGGAAACAAAAAGCTCAGGAAGGGACATAAACAGGACAATATCACATTTAACATACACTTAAAGAAAGCCAAACTGTACACACCAGACGGTCAGCTCCCCCCACGACCTTCTCTGCTGTTCTTTGACATCGATGCTGACACATTTGTTTCCTAACACCCTGAGCAACCAGCTCCCCACGCCTCCTGGAGCCCTGCACACGTGCAGGCAGACGCCAGCAGCAGGACGCACGGCTCCCAGGGGCCCCAACCACTCACAAGGACATCGGGTGCCACCTGCCCCTGGGGCGGCCTCTTTCCTCCTCCCATCACTGGGCCTGGCCTGCTGCAGCCCCCAGTGACCCGACACCCTCCCGCAGCCTCTCCTGGGTGTGCGCAGAGCCAGGCCCAGCGCCGGGCCGGCCACCCGCGGCCAGCTCTCCCGCTCACTTCGAGAGCCTTGGGGCGCTTCTTTACCTGACGTTTCCTCCTGCTTTCTGTATCCGCATTCGCTCCTCGTACTGGGTGGGGTTGTGCTCTTTGCTGAGGCTTAAGGCTGCGTGCCTGTGACTCTCTTCATTATAGCGGCACAAGATCGCCTAGACGGGGCAAGAGAACCGTCGAGAGCAGCTGACGTGGCCCACGGAACCCCACGGAACCCCAGGTACCAGGGGAAGGCTTTCCCCTCCCTCAAATCCCAGCAAATCAAAACAAGCTCAAGAGACCAAACAGAAAAATGTGCGTCAAATGTGAGGCGATGCTACGTGGCGGAAGACTGTCCATTTTGGGGGGCCCAGGGCATCATACTGGACGACCTTGAACATTTTCAGGCTGTCAGACCCTAACCTTTCCTGGCCTCGGTTCCCTCATCTGTAAAATGGGAACAGTAACAGCAGCCCTTTCCTCACAGAGTTGTTCTGAGATCAATGAGACCCCATGCGCAGAGCGCTTTGCTGCCCTTATAACACCACAGAGACACCAGCTACCACCGTCTCCACGTCACAAAATTATGGTCAGCAGCCCCAACTGGAGTTCAAAACTAAACTTAAGAACTGCATACAACAAGCTGCTTCTGGCCCCGTTATCGTGGAGTCTCAGGTTTTTCTTGAGGGAGAAATCCCATCTGGAAAACCAAGGAGGTTTGAATCAAGAGGCTGGCCAGCCAGCTCCCCTCCCCTAATGCTGACCACACTGTGAAGGGTCTTGGACCGACTGAGTCAGGAGCCATGCTTCTAGCTCCTGGGCAGGGACGAGGAGGGTTCAGGGCCACTTTACCCGGCTGTCTCCCAGGTTGGCGATATAGAGGACGTTGTCTACAGCGAGGACACACGTGGCCGTGGAACCGTCCTTCCAGGCAGGCTTCCTGTGGAGAAAGAGAATGATGCGGTCATCCCACTTTTCTTGGTAACTCCCTCGGCCCTCACGTGTGTATCCATCTGGCTAAGGGGCAGCACAGGCCGCAGACGAGCTGCACTCCCGCCCGGGCCTGCCATACTCACTGGCTGGAGGCCTGCTTGAGGAACTCCTCGTCGGTGTGCTTGAAAGTGTCCAGAAGGCACCTCTTCACAGTCTTCTCCACACTGATCACCTCTCCTGTCACAGAAGGACATCACCCAATCAAACTCTGGGGGGAGGGGGGTTCCCTCTGAATAAAATTCTAATCCCCCTTTTCAACAGGGTACAGATGCACCAGGACGAGCAGGGGAAAGAAGCCTAAACAGACCTCGTCTGAGAACTCGGAGAGTGCCTTTGCTGGCTGCAGGCTCGCACCTTTGGGTCGGGCCTCACGATTCCTCATGGCACTACCTAACTGCCCAAAACCCAGGCGAGTTCCCCAACTCAATTCAGAACGGGTGCTGCTCCAACGTTCGGGAGCAGCATCATCAGGAGGCACCTTCCACACAGGCCCAGGCCCACAGCAGCGACACTTTCTTCTAGGTTCAGGAGTTCTGGACAGTCTTCTTCCATGGGGGTGTGCTGTCCCCACGCACCAGCAGGCTCTGCGCGCACAGCGAGCATCTCTTCCTGCTCATCCCAGACCATCCTCCACTCTGGCACACTCCGCATCCCCAGCAGTCATTCCCCTCTTGTTCCTCTGCTGACGTTGGCCACCGTTGATGAAAGGGATTCTGTTCTGCCAGTTATTTCTGCCGTGCGGCCATGAATTCTGCCTAACTGCCGAGGGAACCCACAAGGCCTTTTGCCTCCCTGGGTGTTGAGTCATTTTTCTCCATGCTGCAATACTGATCCATCAATATCTGACTCTAGCTGATCTGGAGGGCCTAATGCCTTCTGTGACTGGTTCTCTTTCCTACTTGCTTATCTGCTTATGCTCCAGGCCTTTAACTGAGTTTTCTTTCTCCCATGATCTCAGGAGACTGAAATCTTTTTTACTTATTTCCCCATCACTCACTTTCTAACGCCTTCCCCATTCACGATGGTCTCCCCGGGAGCAGGGCCTCCCCCACACCACTGAGTTTCTTTTTCCAGCGTCCTCCTCTGCCCTAAGTGAGCGTGTAGCCCAACGCACAAGCTGGTGCCTTGTCCCACCTCCCTGTTCCCGAGTTTTCTGGCTGAGTTGTGGGCAGCACAGAGCAAGCTTCTGCACTGGTACTCCACTGTGAACGGAGGGAGTTCTCCCAAGCCTGTGGGTGGGTGGGTGCAGCCCTTCCATGCTGTGGTGGCCTATGGGGGAGGTGGAAGGATCTCATTAGGGATTAGCTTTGTCTGCTGTCAGTTCACTGTGCCATTACCTAACAAGGTCTTCCGACCGTGGAAGCAGCTGAAACTGCTTCATCTTGTGCACAGAATTCTGATTTTGCAGAGGTTTGGGGGTTGGCAGGGGCAGCAAATGTCTAATCCTCCATCTTGCTGGTCACATGGGTGCAGTCTTAATGACAACTACCCCTATACCCACCCTGAGACTCATGTTCATCAACACGGCCCCTGCTCCCCCCACCACGAGCACCGTGAGGGAACCCTCACGTCCCCTCAAAATGACAGATCGTTCTATACTAATGAAGGGAAAGAGAAACCACCTAGAGCTCCCTTACCTTTAGGAAATTTCCTGATTAGGTTCTGATGCAAATTCTGAGCAGCAAACTTGGAAGCTCGGACTCCTCCATGCCCATCGAAAACAGCAAAATAGGAAACCCGAGAGCTGTCAGGAAAGGAACCAAACACACGAACAGCGCAGTTTAGTCCCGAATCGTTGATGGTCGGGCCACAGGCACCTTTGGGCCCAGTGCTCCCTTTCTCATTCCATCTATCTTATATTTTTAAGAAAAGCCATCGGTCTAAAATATCAAATGTCTCAGAGACTAAGAATGAGCTTCACTAAACTGTAAAACAACTTTGTAAAGCAGGTTTGGGGTTGCTGTTTTAAGGATACAATGCTCCTACCCACATTTTACACATGAGGACCTTGAGGTTATAATTGGAAAATCAAGCAGCTGCATGAAATCCAGGCTTATCCAAAGCAGTGAGAAATGAGCAGAGCTCAGAACTGCCGCAACATCCTAAGCTTCCAAAGAAGGAGCCCTGGTGCCAGAACTGGTCTGAATCTTGCCTCTGACCCGTGAGAACGGTGGGACCGTGGGCACGTCCTTTAGCTTCCCGAGCTTCCACCTGCTCCTTGGTGAGGATGTCCGTCACAACTCTCAGGCTTCTAAGTGCTCAGCAGACAATACAGGCAGGACCACCATTTCACAGACGGTGACATCGCTCCCCCTCGGCACTTCTGCTGGGTCATCACTTGGGTCCCACCTCCATGGGCCCTCCTCCTTTCTCTCTGGGATCTCGCTGGCTCCCCGGGGGGTGAGCTAGCCTGTCCTTCCAGGTCTCTGCTGAGCCTCAGTTCTGCATCGTGGCTCATCAGGAAACCACATTTCTAAAACAGAACGCGTCTTTCCTCCTAAGCTCTCTCTGATTCCTCGTCTTTCAAGTAAGGCAAGTTCAAAGCCCGGGCGCCACCTTTGACTCTCCGGTGCCCCGCGCCCCTCCTGCTGCCATCACGTGCCATCTGCATGTCTCTCACATCTCCAGTCCAGCCCCTGCCAGCTGCTAAACTGATCTTCCTAAAGCACAGGCCCAGGCCACATCCCTCCTGGGCTGAAGAAGCTCCAGGAAGCTCTGCCTGGCCTCCAGGATAAAACACAAACTCCTCTGTGTGGCCTTCTCAATCTGGCTCCTACCTGACCTCTCCAGGCTCATCTCACACACACGGCCTTCGTGGCGTGCTCACACATGACATCCCATCCCTCATCTCCAGGCCTGGAATGTACGCCATTCACAGGCCCTGGCTCCCCTCAAGGCTTCAGTTAGTTCAGTCAATAAGCATTGGTTAAACACTTTCTACATGCCAATCCCTGGGCTTAGCACAAAAGAAACAAAGAAAGGGAGGAGACAACATGCCAACAATTATGTACAAGCAAGATCTGTACAGTGGAGAAGGCAGGTCACCCCAGAGGGAAGGCACTAGCCATGGGTGACAGGGGTGAGGGCAGGTGGGGGAACCAGGTGGGATTTCAGCTGAATCTTAAAGGAAGCCAGGAGGCAGAGGCATGGAACAAGCTCAGCTGCCACCCGGTCCATGAGGCCCATCCTCGTTCCCCAAGCTGCTCATGTCAGGCTCACCAGAAGTTAATTTGTATCTCACTTATATGTATTTTTGTACTGACTTATCCATATCCATGGATTCCTCCCCCTCCCCCTGGGAAAAAGGCTCTGAGCTCAGACTGGGGATGGGCTTCGAGGCTTTCGGGACCACCTTGCCACGTTCGGAGACGCTCGGCCCCAGTGCTCGTGTAACTGCCTGGGTAGAGAAGGCCCACTGTCCCTGACGGTGGAAGGAGCGTGGCACTGATGACATCACAGCTCTTTCAGAGCATTTAGCACCCCTTCAGTCACTGGTCAAGCCCTGTTCTCCACAGCCCTCTTAGAAGGTTACCCCAAAGACACCAGGGCACCCCCTATGGAAGTTCCTACAGAGCCAGCCAACCCAGGTCAGAAAACCCATCCTCCTAAAACTCCAAACCACATTCTCTGGCCAGATCATCTGTACTGAACATCAGGCCAAGGTCTCTTTAACGTCATGGATACCTTAAACAGTTCAGTGACACTGTAGAATAATGTTTTTTTTTCCCTACACTGATAATTGAAGGGAAAGTAATTCTAGTTAGAATTCAGTAAAATAAAGATGTACCTTTTTTTCCCCACCCAAGTCCCCGGAATCCCATGAAATTTACCTAAAGATTCCCCGAGGATTAAAGTTAAGGAACCCTGTATTAGATTTAACTGGGATTAACTGATTTTCAAGGGTTTCCAAAAATCAAAGCAACTTTGAAAGGGTCGAGATTTTGCAAGACTGAGATATTCCAAAAAATGTATCACCAGCTCTGAAGGGTTTTTCTAAGGAAGGTTCCCCATCCCCCCAATCCCCTATACCCTCACCCCAACTTCTAAGCAATTGCATTTTGTTAAAGTGTACTGCCTTCCAACTTTCATTTAGATACATGAATACCAAGATGTTAAATTCAAGAATCTAGGACTTACAGATGTCCTTTAGTCTAAGTGCCCTTTCACAAGGGACCCCAAATATATACATCCTTGAAGGTTACTATAGAATCCTGTATCAACTCATATATCCTACTTTCTGATTTCTTTTTCTGGGAAGAGCTTGATCCTGCACCTTTCTTTTCTTTGATTTCTTTATCATTTGTGCCCTTCATGGGTACTGACAATATTTCTCAATTTGTCATCGTCCATTAATATAGCTAATGACTTCTACTCTCCCTTTCAGGTTTTAACATGAAACTATTCCCTGACAAAATTATGGTTAATTATGAATAGTAAGTCATGGCTCCTGATGAGATAAAACCAGGAGACTGATTTTCAGGTGTGACAACTCATTTCTCCTGGGTGAAAAAGAATAATAATGAGAAAAAGATGAGGCCCACAATTGAACAGGTCAATACAAAATTATTTAAATGAGCAACTAAAAAAAGGGAAAAGAACTGATCGTAAGTGAAATAATTTCACTCAGAAGTTTAACCAGTATAAGCTAACTGCCTAAGACCAGAAGAACTCACAAAGCAGCTTAACCTGGCTTCCTCACAGTAAATTTCCCTTACAAAAGGATAGAAATGGCAGTGAAAGGTAATACTGAGTCACAATTATCAACTCATAAGTAAAATTTTCCAGGTAACTATTAGCAATATTGTCTCATGAGGCAGAGAAGCACCAGAATGTGGTAAAACTAGTCTCAGGAAAGTTTGGTTAGAAAGCCAACAAAGCAAAGTCATCCCAATGATACTCCAAGATGAAGAGAGAAAGAGGACAGTGGACAGAAGACAAGGAGACAGTCAGATAAGCCATTTCAACAAATTGTTTTTTCCATCAAAGATGACGGAACCACCACACTTGGCCCTGAGGTGCTTCTGGAAGTAGAAATGGCACTCGAAGGAATACAGAGAAGAGCAGTCAGACTGGACTGAGTCTGGACAAGAGATGCATGCGTGAGGGTGTGAAGAGACCAAAGCACAGGGTGGCGAGATGGGGCAGAAAGCTTGGAGTCTATTTAGCCCCAAAGAATGATGATGACCAACCTGTGTATCCGTCCTCTGCTCTACACAAAATCTACAAAGGAATCAAGGGAAACTCTGATGAAGGTATTAATGAGGAACAAGTAGGCATTCACAACTGACAGTCAACATCAGACCAGATTGTTCTAGTTTCTCAATTAACTGAAACATGTAGAAAACATCATACATATTACATATGGATTATGAAAAGGCAGTGGATTTCAAAGAAGAAAGAGCCACTTTACGGGACCATTTACAGAAAAGCTGTTTCCCTCCCACCCGTGGAGACCACTCAGGGCTCCTAAGATCTAACAACAGCAGTAACAGCTCCACAGCCCTTTGATTATAAATGCCAGAAAAGGCACATGACTTGGAGGTGTAGGCCTGTGAAAAGCACCTGCCACCACAAGAGGGGAGACCCAGTGCCAAGCAGAGGTCAAGGGGACGGATTTCCTGTGCAGGAAGACGAGGACTTCCAGATGCTCCTGGCTGGGGATGATATCGTACTGACAACTGCAGGTGCCTGTGCTCTCCAACTGCTCAAAGGAATCTGGTCTGTTCAAATACCCAGGAAAGACCAAGCAGAGGGACCCACAGCACTGCACAGTGGACCGAATGCTAAACCTGGATCCAGGAAGCTTGAGGCTTGAGGCCTGCCGCTAACACTGACTGGGTGACCGTGGTCAAGTCCTGTCACTTCTTCTCCATCGGGTAAGCTAGAACTGGATTTGATGGCCTCCCCAGCCCCTTCCCTGAGCTCTGCATTCATAAGCCACCAAGGATGCCTTCTGCCCAGATTTCAACATGCATTTGGATGAGCACCCTGGGGAGCTTCTCCATCAGGACGTCCACCGTGGATGGAATCATGTGGACGTGAGCTCTGCCCTGAGTTTAAAAGGAGGAGGAGAGCAGGCCAGAACAGGTACTGAACTGGCCGCAGAGGAAATCAAAGCCCATCTTTTCAATACTAAGATCTGACTGGAGCTTCCGTGTGGCAGCAGGCCTGGACGCCAATCAACTGCAAAGAATCTGAGAGGAGCACAGCACAGAGGGCAATGGCAAGGTGCATACATGGTGAGTGTGAGAAATGTCACAGACCTCTGAAGAAGAAGACCAGAATCCAAGGCTGACGTCCACCAGGGAACGCAGGGCAGAGAAAGAAGGTGGGCTGGTCACTTGGCAAGAGAGGCAAAAGGCACGTGGCCAGTGCTCCGCCAGCATGGAGACCAGCAGGAAGGCTGCCGGGGGTGCGGGGTGGGGAGAGAGAAGACCACACGGACACTATCAGACCTTTAGGGTTTAGGGTTCACGCGTCACCACTCCAGTGAGCATGACCGTGGATGGACCACTTGATCCTTCTAAGTCCCCTTTCCGCCTCTGGAGGCTGGGAGCGGTCCTGGTTATAGCACCTCTCCCCTCCCCCTCGTGGGAGCCCGTGGGCCGAGGGTACTCACATCAGAGAAGAGAGGGGCTTACACTCCTCGGTGATGTCATTCAAGATCACGTGGGCATCCTGCATCTCTTCCCTTTCTCCTTTCCTCTCTGCCACATAACCTTTAAGGCCAAAGATCACCGAGGAATCTGAGGAAGAAAACCACATGAAAGCGGCCAAGCTCTTCTTTCAGAAGCCCCACCTCGAAGCGCTTCGCTCAACAACTCCCTGCACGCTAGCTGTACTGCCTCACGGGCTCTGCCGGGCCTGGGGGGGACCTCAGGCGTTCCTGGGTAGACCGGAGCCTGGCACGGGGGAAGGAAGACCCATCAGGTCCGAGGCACTGCCTTCAATCCGTCCAAAGGAAGCAGCTTTTCTCCTCCAGCTGAGGTCTTGTTATGATTCACAAGCCCAACACAGGGCAAGGAAACAGACCAATAGAGCTTGTCAAAAATTCTTTTTCATTAAAGCCCATTAGACGAATAGTTATTTCTACATTTGAATTTGGTTAAAAAAAGTCAACAATGATAAATCCCCAAGTTCTCCTGAAACTTTCTAAAACCAACAGTCAAAGGACTGGCTTGAGTGGCTTTTGTCTACAGTGGTGCCTGGCTAAGGGGGGCCACAGCCCACCCCACGTGGGTCTACAGCAGGCAGCACTGAGTGGGGGAACAGGTTGGGGTTCACCCTCTCACACAAATTACACGGCAGTCTTTCTTGGGTAGTTCCGAAGCTCCAAGTTCTTTTTCTCTCCTCTCAAGCTGTGTAACTACAGCTGAGCCCAGATATTTCATGGGCAAACAGCAGTAACTGTGGAGAGTGTGTGCACACACACAGACTCTTCAGTACCTCTCATACATCTTCCCCACCCAAACCATGATCAAAATTGACACCAAAGGACAAAATTGTCCAGCTTTATCTCCATTCCCCAGCCCTGGACATGCTCAGAAGATGGGGAATGGAAGAGATGGAAAAGAGGCATTTCGAGAGAGAAACAGAAGGGAGATCTGGAAATTCACAAATGGGATCATCACTTCCTGAATCTGGATGGAAAATACACTGGATTGAGGGTTCTGGTACATGGGAAGTCTTCTAGGGGAACCCAAGAGTGGTCAAAGGAAATAAGAAAAACAAACTGAAAGGAGATATGCTCTATGCACAAAGAACACACCCCTAGGGACAGAAATGGACAACGGACACTGGAGCTGCTTCTCCCTCTGCCTGGGCTCGTGAGGCATAAAATCTAATACATTTGTTTTCAAACTGTCTGAAAACCTTTACAAACTTTCTTTTCCACAAGCTCTTCACTCCCATTCTTCTCCTCCTCCACGGTTTTCCGTTTCGCTCCTTTCCCATCACTCTTCGGTCCCTGGGATGCTTGAGAGGCAGGTGAACCTGGAAAAAAAGCAAGAGCACGGACCACTTCAAAAGGCAGGGATGGCCGCCTGGGCACCCGCGGACAGACCAGCCAACAAACCCGGGGAACTTGGTCAAGCAAAGGTGAAAAGGAGAATTGCAAAACAAGACCAGCACCACGGTGGTTTTTACTTCAAAACAAACACCCGTCATTTCAAGTCACACACGCACACCTGGTGTGGAAGAGACTACAGGCAAAGTTATTATTTCATCAGTCACTATGGCTGACGTTGAGATTAGGCAGCCAAACACTGCAACACAAGTATTTATAATATACACGCTACAATGACATATATGCACATACGGAGACAAACACATCCCAATCTTAATTGGGCAGATTTCCATAGATTGATAAATGAACAGACAGGTTTTAATAAATTCAGAAAAAAAGCCTAAGGACCATTTAAAGCCAAAGTGCAGAAACACTGCTCAGTATGAAGAACTTTTTTTAGATGTTTTAAGCAACAACTACTTTAAGTCAATGTTAATGGTCCAGAAAGTTCAAGTGCTGTGCTCAGGGCACAGCAGCAGATGGAGCTTTAGACCTGAAGTCAGAAGAGCTGAGTTAAAATCTAGCCTCAGTCCCACTCACTAGCTTGTGTGACACTTCACCTCTGCTTGCCTCAACTACTTCATCTGTAAAATGGGGTCTTAACAATACTTCCCTCCCAGGACTGTTGTGAGGCTCACGAGATACCATCTGTAGAATGCTTTGCAAACCTCAGAGCGCTACAGAAATGTTAGCTATTACAATAGTAACTATTATTCTTTCCTTAGTTAGAGATATGCTCACTGGCAAATGGCTAAATTTTGACCAAAGGGCTGTGATACACGGACGAATGCAGATAAACTGAAGCTCCATGTTCTGGGGCTATTCCTAAGACATTCCTAGTATCTTCTCATGGATTTAGACAGAAAAGGCTTCTTACAGATCACTGATACAGAGGTCACTGAGCCAAATCTCCTCATTTTCCAGATGTGGAAACCGAGGCAGGCACAGATCAGTGAAGTGACGAGCCCAGGGTTCCAGAGCTGGGGTTCTGTCCCCTTCTCCAATGAGTTCAGCTCACTTGCTTTCAGATGAGGAAACAGGCCCCATGAGGTAAAGACACTTGTCTAACCTCCTACTGGCCATAAGGGGCAGTGCTTGGAAGAAAGCATTCTTCCCGTGCCTGCAGAATGAGCCCTAAGGCTGCCCCCCTACACTGTCTGGGTGCCCCTTCCCCCATTACCAGACTCGAAGCACCTGGAGGACAAGAGACTTCGGAGGGATCCAACTTTGCTGATCAAAGACTGTTTAGACCACAAAGATTTTAGACTGAGCCACATTCCCCCAAATTGGCAAACTTTTCAATACAGCTTTCTCTTCTTTAATAACACAGGAGTTATGTGAGCAGTGACTCAACGACCAAACCCTTACCACTGAGGGATGCAGATACAAATGTGGCATTACTTAAATTCACACTGCCTCTTTCCACTATTTACCATACTATACATCAGTATAACTTCGAAAGTGCCAATCTGAATCCATGTGCCCCCTTCAGGGGCTGTCAGTCACACTAAGCTGGCCTCAGCTGGGCCAGTCCGCAGCTGCCCTCCCTCTCCCTCCATCCACTTCTGTCTCCTGGCTACTCCTCCCTACACTCAGTGTCACTCACCTACAGCCTGCCTCTTCCTCTTCTCTTCCTTTCCTCTAAGTCCTCGGCACTCTCTGGGCCTTGTGCTGACCAAGCTGCCTTCAGCTCAAACCAACCACCTCTGGATGCCCACAGAAGCTTGGCCTCTCCTCCCAGGAGACGCTGAGCTTCTGACCACTTTCCAGAGGGTACCGTTCTCTGTTTCTTGGGCCCTGACACACACACATTGGGTAAAGAGGAGGAGGACTGCCTGACCCAGGGTGCTCCCTTCTGCTCCCCATCACACTCCAACACTCTTGAGGGTTGCCTCTATCCAACCACATGGCTGCATTCTGATCACTGTGGACAATACATCGGCCTTCATGCCAGTCTCCCTCCTTACTCACAGAATTCAGTGCTTGGCACACTCTATGTCACCATGTGCAGGGACTTCTGTCCATGTAAAACACCCTCTCTGACCTCCATCTTTCCTCTCAGGCAGTTCCCAAAAAAGTTTAAATGTTTGATTATAAGAGTGGCTTGTGAAGTGTGGTGTGAGGACCCCTAGGGACTCCAAGACCCTTTTAGGGGGTCTGCAAGGCCAAAATTATTTTCCTAATGATATTTGAAGTCATGTTAATATCTAACGTAGTAGATACTGATAGATATAACCGACATAAACAAAAGTTCTTGGGAAGAGTCCTCAAGAACTGATGAGTATAAAGGGGTTCTGAGACCAAAGAGTCTGAGAACTGCCACCTAAGATCTTAACCACCATCCATAAATGTGCTAAAGATACTGGTCATGAGGACCTTCTTCTCCAACTTACAATTCAAAACACATCACAGCAGTGGTTAGAGCGCCAGGCCTAGAGTCAAGAGGACCTGAGTTCAAATCTAGCCTCAGACATTTAGCAGCTATATGACCCTGGGCAAGTCACCTAACCATGTTTGCCTCAGTTTCCTCACCTGTAAAGTGAGGGTAATAAAAGCACCTGCCTCCCAGGGTTGTTCTAAGGACTAAATGAGATAACTATAAAATGCTTACTAGCATAGTACCTGGCACACAAGCACTACCTAAACATTAGCTATTATTATCGTTACTATTTTGGGCCGGTCCATTTGGAAGAGGTGGCCCTCCTTGTCATAGTCAATCCCTGCCTGCTCCAACCTCTTCCTGGAGTTTGCCACAGAGATCATTCTCTCCCTGTCTCATCTCTGATCTGTCCCTTTCCATCAGCTTCTTTACTATGACCTACAAAAACTGCCCAGGTAATCATCCTCTCAGGCACTCATCACATCTCTCTCCCCAAGCCTAAAACTCACTTCCTGCCCGCCCCCCCACCCCGCCCCGCTCACTCCAACAAGATACTGTCTCATTTCTTTCCTCCCATTTAAAATATCTAGAAAAAAAGTGTCTACGACCAACATTTCCACTTTTTCAGCACTTGCTTTCATCCTCTTGCAGTCTGGCTTCAAACCTAAGCACAAATGACGTCCCCAGAGACACAGCCAAGGGCCCTTTCCCTGTGTGCATCCATCCTCTTTTGGGGAGGGGGTCACCTCTCCTCCCAGCTGTAGACACGTCAGGCCCTCTCGATTCTCCTCCCGTCCCTCTAACAGCCCCCAGCTCATCTTCCAAAGGTGTCAGAGCGTCGGGGGCTCCCCAGGGCTCTGCCTGTGGCCCTCTTCTCTTCTATTCCTTCGTCCCTGGGCCATTCCACTCGCAGCTCTAGCCGCCAGCACAGAGCAGGGATCTCCGGGAAACAGCGAGCTGTCGTCAGGTGGGAGCAGCTGCCCTCACAAGGAGCCCTGCCGAACGCAGGTGCAGGAGAACCAGGGGGATGAGAGGGAAGCCTCCTCTTGAGCGGGCGGTAACACTCCAACATCTGCGAGTCCCAAGGCCCTTCAAGCTTTTCCAAGTATCGAGCACACACGATCATCTTGTCTGAGTCTCACAATTAATCTGCAAAGGTTTTACACCACTTACAGAGGAGAAAACCGAGCCTGTAGAAGTTAAGAGGGAGTCGTGGGCGCCAAGATTCCAGGCCAGGGCTCTCCTTCCCATGGCTCACCCGGTGCCCCGGGGGAGGGCGGGGTGCTGTGGCTGGAGCCAGTGGGCACTGAAGTTGCCTGGTGCTCCTGGGGCCCCACCTTTGGCAGCCCCGGTGCTGGGGCTCCATGGTAGCAATGGGTCCACTGTGAATCGCTGCAGCTAAGGGTGCTTGGAAGCCTTAGAAGACAAGAGTCCCCTTCTATCTCCTTCTGAGGCCTGGGTATGCTGGGGGAAGCCTGCATAGTCACCAGGGAGAACTCTCTTCTCACCACAGCGGATGGATGCTAGTCATTAAGGAAACCAAGCCGCCTCCAGGACAAGGAGCCCTGCTGGCCGTTCCCTTAAACAAGCTGGAGCCCTTCACCACCCGAGCTCCTTCCTGAGGCAGCATGGAGACTCCTGGCCCTCCAGCCTTGCTTCCTGTGGCTCTTCTCCAACGCCCGGCTATCTCAGCTCACACTGTTCCCTGGGTCTTGGACACCCTCCTTCCTACTCACCCTTACAAACGTGCCAACTCCCTTGTGGTCTTCCGTCCCTAACTGACCTGGCTGGGACACTCCTGCCCCAACGCAGGCTCTAAAACACACAGCTCTCTTGCCACTCTCAAGGCATCTTTCATGCATCATGGTCACCTGAGCACGCGCCACAATCCTGCTACAAAGTGGTAAGTCCCATGAGTCGTAAATGTCCTATTCCTCCCCCCAAACCAAATAACAGATTAAAAAGAGAAATAGAAAAAAATGAATAAATTTAAGGATCTTTAGATTTTATATGCCGAGAGTTTATATAAAGCAGAGAGTGACAGAAAACGGACCCCAAGGAAGGGATCATTGACTCTATTTCTGCGAAATGGACTTTGTTCGATTTGAGCTTTCATCTCTTCTCTTTCAATGCTGTGATTTGTATGTTGCCGGAAATATCTTTGGCAAGAAAGGCAAAGATGTGAATGAAGTATTATGGACAGACAGCACTGCCTCGAACCTCTTTTCACCCACTTACCTGAGTCACCACTGCTAGCAGGTGGAAGATCATCAAAAAGCAAAGATCCCCCTGACCCTGAAACACAGCAGAAGCCCCAGTGAGCCTCGGACAAGCCTCCTTCCAAGGCCTCCTTGTCCCGAGTCCACCCCGCCAGGACACCTCGCCCCCAAGCCGGATGACATCCACTCACAGCCCTCCTGCACCAGCCTTGAGATCAGGGACGCTGGAGGAAGCAGGAGGATTCTGGACTTACCTGACACCAACCCTAGAGAAAGGCATCATTGTCAAAGAAAAGGAAATCAGCTTTAAAGAGTCGACTTCATTTTAACCAGCACAACAAACGTGGCTGCCGAGTGAACCAGAGAAATCTGCTTGTATTTCTTATGTGAGATTTTCTCAGGGCTGGCTACTAGCTACAAGCTGACTGTCTGCCTTACCTGATGCCTCTGATTCAAAACTTAAGACAGTCCAACACCTATACCATCTGTGTGTTGAAAATGGGGGAAAGGGAGAAAGATTGAGACAACCACAATCCCAGGAGGAGGAGAGAGGTTGACACACACCTGGGAGAGCCTGAAGACTGTACCTGAGTCAGCACTGCTAGCTGGAGGCAGGTCATCAAAAAGCAAAGATCCTTTTTGTACGTCTTTCCCTGAAATACAGAGAACAGGCTTAGAATGTGTCTGATTAGATCAGAGGAAGAACTCTCCAAAGAAAGTCTCTATGACAAAAATGGCCTGGGAAAACCATCTAACTCAATGACTTTCCCAACTGTCGGACAAAATTGCACATTCTGTTCTACAAATAAATCACATTTTTGCTAAGTATTAACATGGACATTCTCACTGTTCCTATCTGGTCATACACATACATTCATTATATAGCTTATAAACTTTTATTTTAGGAACAAAAAATAATGCAGTAAGCATTTTAAGGACTATCAGGTCTTTCAAAGAAAAGGGTAAATGGAAACTCCTGTTACACCATTCCTATAACACTGGTATCTACATTGCTTAACCTAATTATTCTTTAAAACAAAACCTAAAAAAAAAAGAAAATTGTAACTATCCCAAGGATTCAAGCACAGTAATGATAAATTTCTACCGTGGGTTCCCAAAGTGGGTGATACTGCCCCCTGGGAGGCGCTGGAATGACCCAGGGGGGCAGCAGTAGTTTGAAATGACACAAATTTAAAAAACAAAAACAAAATTGTTAAAGAGTTAAAGAAAGTAGATTTCCAGGGGGGCGCTGTGTAATTTTTTTTTTTTTTTTTTGAAAACGGGGCAACAGACCAAGTAAGTTTGGGAACCTCTGTGAGAGTATTCTGTTTCAAAAGAGTTTAAGATATGGAAATCTCTGAGCTAGAAATGCCATTTAAAGAACAGGCAAAATTCTATGAATGTAATACCCAGTTAAACAGTAGTTAATATATTATATAGATGTGTATGTAAAACATGTCTAGAGGAGAGGTGGGGGAGAGAGAGGGAGGGGGAGAGGAAGAGAAAGAAAGAGAGAGAGAGAGAAACATTTAATAACCTACAAGCCAGCATCGAAAGCTAACTACTTACATGCAGACTCAGAACCTAGTCTACCTATAATATGAAGAAGTCTGAAAAAAAGGAAGGGGCCTTAGAAGCCCTGCCCATCTCTTTCCGTCCCTACTCCCGTTAGTGGGTATGACTTGGATGAAGATCCAGCAAAGACTTAAAAAGAGCTGTCAGACAGGCAGAAGAACCAGGAGAAAGCAGCATCCTGAAAATCTGAGAGAAGAAAAGTATCAAAGAAAAGAGGATGGGCAATAGTCTTAAGGGATGTAGGGAGATCAATAAAGACAAGGATTAAGAAAGGTCATCAGCTGGGCCATTACAAAATCACTGGTAGGCCAGGTGGCTAACAAGCTTTTCTATGATTCTCAAGACCTCTCAAGCCTCTCCAAATTAGGAATTATGTGCTAGAGTTGAAGCAACTACAGTTGTCTTCACGATCTGGAACAAGACGAAGCCAAAAAACTTCAATGAACCAAGCGAATTAGACTTAGGCGATTAGAAGGCTAATCCCAAGCACCTTCAACATCTCTGGTCTCCAGGCTCCAAGCAGTCAGGCTTGCCCAAGCTGACCCACACTCCTCCAATGGACTTATCTCACAAGCCCACCCCACCTCCCTTCCCAGTACTACAGATCCAAAAGGCAGGAATTTGCTGGGGCTGCAAAAACATCCAGGAGCCAGACACTGATGCATGTCAATGGCTATGCGTGGCACTGGACTGAACTTGAGGGAAAATGCTTGGGACAAGTGAACTGTCCAGCATGGGAAGAGGCTGAGATACCTTTGAGCTCTCACCACTGCCAAGGTTAGCTGCTATCAAAGGGGGGAATCGGGGGAGGCAACGAGGGGAGTCAGAAAGTGAGCAATACGGGAAAATAAAGGAAAGACTGAAATTGCCAAAGAGCTCAGGAGGAAGACCTTGAACATAACCAGACAAACCAACAGGAAGGATACTGACAGCAGAAGAAAATACAGCCTGCAGCTCAGGGAAAAGTGTCCAGACAGAAATGACTAAGCGCTGCAAGACAATGGAAAATGAATGACGACGTGGAGGGCTCCGTGGATTCTGAAGAGAGCATGGAACCACTGTGGCATGTTCCTGAATAGTTTAAAAGATAAATAAGGGGGTAGCTTGGTGGCGAGTGGGTACAGCACTGGCCCCAGAGTCAGGAGGACCTGAGTTCAAATCCAGTCTCAGACACTTGACACTTATTAGCTGTGTGACCCTGGGCAAGTCACTTAACCCCACTGCCTAGCCAAAAAAAGAAAAAAAATTAAGAATTACGAAACAGAATTTACGGCTTGCACAGCAGAAATAACTGGCAGAACAGAAAAACTTGAATCTATGGCGGTGAGTCCCATCGAGAGACAAAAGAGAGAATTAATGAATTGGGAATACAAATACATAGATGTGAAGGACAACATGGAAGAAAAGAAGCAGAAAACAGTAATGTTAAAAAGAAAGCAAGACCTCCACACGAGCAAAACATGGATTTCAAAGAATGAACGTCGAGAGAAAATTTCAGGATTATCGGTCTCCCAAAAGATCACAAGTCAAAAAGCCTGAACACCAAAAATGCAAAAACAACCCAAACCAACTGCCCAGAACTTCTGAACAGAAGACCGAGAGTCACAGAGCCCACAGGACGCCTCCAGAAAGAAACCCTGTGCTGCCAACTCCAAGACGTGGAACAGTCACGTTTAACAATTCCACCAGCAATCAATTATTCAGTCGCCAGTCAGTCAATAAGTACTTATTAAACAACCACTATTTTGTCAGGTGCTCTCACGGAACTCACAGTCTAACAGCGGAGACAACATGCAAACAACTATGCAGAACTAAGCTGGATGCAGCATCAATTAAGGGAAGGCACTCGAAGTAGGTGAATCAGGAAGGGCTTCCTGTAGGTGAGATTTTAGCTGGGACTTGAAGGAAGCCGGGGAAACCAGGACGTAGGAGGTAGGGAGAACATTCCAGGCATAGGGGCCAGCCAGGGAAAAATGCCTGATCAGGATAGGAAACATCCTGCTCCATGGAAAATCAGGAGAGGGCAGTGTTCATGGATCACAGCGGGTGGAGGTGGGGTGAGGAGGTGACAGGACATAAGAAGATTCCTACTATGGGGCAATATCCTCTTTGTCACCTGTAGGAATCGCTATTTCTGAGAGTAAGCTCAATAGGAAAAAAGGAGGCAAGGGGTCAACATCTATAAGGCAATGAGAGGAGGAAAACAGGCACCCCAAAACTTTGAATCCCAAGAGGATCAGAGAGAGGATAAAGGGCTTAAGTAAGGATAAGGGCCCTTAATCAATGAATAAAAGGCTAGGATAGAAAGGGAATGTAAGGAATGAGAATAAGGGAAAAAATTATTTTTAGAAAAAGATAAAGAAAATGAAAGTTTAAAAACCAATGAACTGAAGAAGAGAAAGGGGAATTCTACTCAACTACTTAACTGAGACAAAAAAGGAGGGAAAAATTAAATGACCAGATAAGATGGGGGGGACAGGGCGGGGCGGAGAATGAGCTCGGCTCAGGGCAGGCAGTGTTTAAGAGGCCCATGGAGCATCCAATCCGAAAGGCTCAAAGGCAAGTGGTGGTGCAGACTGCCAGCAGACAGACAACGAACAGACAGAAAAGCTGGGTCTTGTCTGCACTGAGAAGACAGGAAAGCCCAGGGGAGCAGAGGAAGGCACTGAGTACTGGGGGAGAAGAGCCCTTTCCCTCTCCCTTCCCAGCAGAGGACTTCATGAAATCACTGGAGAAAAAAAGGAGGCCACCTGTCCAGAGACCCAGTTATGGATGACGGGACATCTGGAACTAGTTGTCCTGCAGGTGCCTCAAACTCAACAGACTGAACAGAGGCTAAACTCATCTTTGTCCCCCAAACCCCAGGACACCCTCCTCTGAATCTATTTCCACACGTGCATCATCCTCGACTCTCCCCGTCCCTCACCCCACACATCCAATCAGCTGCCAGGGCTCATCGCTGTCACCTCCTCGACATCTCACATCCGCCCCCTTCTCTCCACTCACCGGTCACTGACCTTGTTCAAGTCCTGGTCATCTCTTGCCTCGTTTCCCTGCCTTACGTGTCTCTCCTCTTGCTATCTGGCCTCCCACACGGCTGCCAAAGCGACCTTCCTTAAAGCACAGCCCCAACCAGGTCAGTGCCTACTCAGGAAACACCAGGGACTCCTTCCTAACTGCTGGGTCAACTTCAAACCCTTCCACTGGGCATTTAAAGCCCTTCACAACTGGACCCTGGCCCGCTTTCCCCAGACCTGCTGGGCATTATTACCCTCTTACGTGCTGTCCAAATGATCCTTCCGATGCTCCTTCCATGGCCACGAATTTGCGCTGGCTTTCTACCACGCCTGCCTAGAAAGTTCTATTTCTTGGAACACCGTTTGCTTCAAAGCTCTGTACAAGAGCCCTTCTATGCGACCAAAATACCCAAGTATTCCTTGACTCAGAGGATCATAAATCCAGAGGTGGATGGGACTTCTTTTTTACAAACGAGGAAAGTGAGGCCCAGCCCAAGGTCAACCTGCTCAATCTCAGGTGGGATTTGAACACAGGGGTTCTGACCCAGGGCTATGTGCTGGTGTCCTCCCCTGTCCTTTTGCTCCATCCCTAGTGAAAATGGAAAATAGCCTGTCCCTAAGAGCGTACGTATCACTGTCCCTCGACTGATTCTCAATTAATAATGTGCCACTCTCAACCCTTTCCACTGGACTCTAAGCATGCCGTCTTAAGAGATCTAGAGTGCTAAGGCCTCTGAGAATGCTCTTCCTCCCAGCATGTTGCCCTTCTACCAAAACATCCCTGCTACTGTACTTCATTTTAAAACAGCGGCTCACGCTTCCTTCGCATCCAATTTCTGGCCCTCTTGCACATTTTTTCCCACTGCACTTCAGCATAAATGACTGCACATCTTCAGTTAATGTTTTTCTTTCCTCAAATGAGTGGGCTGCCTTCTTCTCACTGCCTCGTTTCTAATGTTTCACCTCATTTTGTGATTACTTTTGAATGTGCATCCGAGTCTAACCGGAATTTTAGCCTCAGCCCTTACGGGTTGCCTGCAGCCTAAGCTGCCTCTACCGTGACCAGATCAGAGATTAAAATAAAAAGTATTTAGAAATTAAACAGCACTAAGTCCAAGAACAAGCATCTGAACTGACTGCCAGCTACAGCTCCCCCTCTGAATGAACCAGAGGACACCATCTCCTGATACTTAGTCACTCTAGTGACAGTCATTGACAAAAGAAGCTTCAAGGGACCATGCCACTCACTAACAACAGCAGAAACCTCACGGGCACACACCATGTTTCTAGGCAACGGCCTTGCCTGCCAACCCCATGGACAGACACAGTTATTACACACGCTGTACACGGAAGAAACTGAGGCTCAGAGAGACTAGGTGATGCACCCCAAGTCACACAACCGGTGATCAGGCCCTGACCTCAGGCCCCCTGAGTCCTGTGCTCTTTCTATGAGACCACAGTGCCCGAACCTTGGTCAATTAATGAGCATTTACTTTCTCTCAAACCACACTTCATCAAGCCTGACAAACCTCCATGCCCACAATGATTGCCTCCTCTTTAGCTGGAGCTCATGACCGGCCTGCCTGGAGGGGGAGCTTCGACAACAATAATGAGAATTCCCAAGTGGTTTGGTCTCCTGGCTCTGCATCAGTCCAAGAAGTCTTCCTGGCGTCCTCCAAAGCCATCCCTTTCACGTCACCATCTGCCCAGTCATCCCCTAGCTGATGGGTCCTGCCTCAGTTTCCACTTCTTTGCCTTTACAAAAAGAGCTGCAATCAATGTTTTAGAACTCATGGGTCCTTTTCCACTTTCTCTGATCTCTGTGGGCAGCAGGCCTGGTTGTGGTATTGCTGGGTCAAAGGGCACGCAAGGCTTGGTGACTGCGAGGTGGGAGATGAATGCTTTCCAGCACAGGTGGACCCGTACTGCCTTTCCATATAGTCTCAAGTTTTTCTGGAGCCTAAAAATCAAAAGGCTCGGAGAGTCAGACATGCGTGGGGATACAGTCTACATGCTATTTCACTAGAGAAGACAAATGTGAAATCAACATGTAGTTAACAGTGATTTAAAAAAAAAAAAAAGGCTGTTTCCAAGGTAAGCCTTGGTCAGTCCAAACTCAAGTCCAGTTTCTTAACGATGAGGGGGATTCCTAACAAAGTGTGGGCACCTGGAGCACCTTTTGTGCCATCCCCAAAAGATGCCCTTATTTAGGGTTTTAAGTATTTTAAGGTATTTGGATTAGTTGAAAACTTCAATACGTGCATTCAATTAAACTACTTTGAATCAGGGTATTTGTGTATTTGTTTGTGGCCACAATCATAAAGGAATGAGAAATGATACTAGTCACAAATGTGCCCATAACCCGACCTGAACAAGCACAATCACCCTGGCAACCACTCAATTTCTGAAGGTGCTTCGATGCTATGACAAAGTTCCTGAAGTTCTGATCAGGCCCCCAAGTCCCAGGTAAGAGACTGGTTAGGAGCTGCCCAAAATGATCTGGAAGAACTGAGCCTTGGGGAGCAGCTAGCTGGCTAGAGCCCCACATTCATGGAGCGGCAGCGAGAGGCCCCCTGACCTGCAGTCAGGACGAGCTGAGCTCCAAGCCTGCCTCTGACACACCCCGGCTGCCGTTTGGGCACTATGATCTCTCACTCACCACCACCACCGTCCCTCTGCTCACAAAGCTGCTGAGGTCTGCTAGGCCCTAAACAGAACAACACTACCCCTGGGGTTCAACCACCCACCTACGCCCACCCAATAAAATTCTTAGAGAAGCCATCTCTGTGAAATGACTCCACCTGCTCACCGTTCTTTTTCTTTTCAACATTCGGCAGTCTGGCTTCTGGCCTCCAGTGGCCTTTCAAATGCCTCACTGTCCAAGATCTCGGCACGTTGGACACCGAGCTGACCCCCTGCACGGCTAAGCAGAGCCTCTCCAGTCTCTGTAGCTGTTTCTCCTGGGTGTCCTCCGGGGGCCACCTGTGACCCTCCTTCTCCCTTCCTTAGACAATCTCATTTCCAGTGACAGTAAAACAGGCATCATCAGCCCTGCACTACCCACCTCACAGCACTCTGTTGAGGGACGTTAACTCCAACCCTTGGCAAACTTCCATGCAGAACATTAGTCCAGTCAGCAATGTTATTCTGACCCCCAAATGCATTTGTCCAACCTTGGTCTCTCTTCAGAGCTCACTGGATTTTGAATCTTCCACTTGGACGTCCTACCAGCACCTCAGACTCAGCAAGTCTGAGACTGAGTTACCTTCCCACCCACCCTCCTCCTCCTGGCTTCCTGATTTGTCTGTGGTGCCACCGTCACCCAGTCAGTCCCCAGGTTGGTAATCTGGGGTCATACGGTTCTTCCCTCTCCTCACGGCACATCCGGTCGATGCCACCTCCCCAACACATTTCACAATTCCCCCCTCCTCTCTCTGTCTGTCTCCCACAGATATCTTCACCCGGAACATTCCCAGAGCTGCGCCCCAAACCTCTTCATCTAAATTCTCCTGCCCCTCGGTCTGCCTCATGCGCGCTGGCAACATCATCTTTTCTGCCCGTATTCCTAGACACATTAATCCTCTATTCCAAGGCTCAAGCCTTCACGTTTTCTCTGCCTGAGCCAAACTGGCCCAGTCTACAAGCTACAAACACCTGGTCTATCCTCCTCATCTTGCCTCACCTGTTCCCTGTGCCAGGAATGGCTCCCCTCCCGCTCTTCTCCAGCTGCATTTTTATTCATATTTTGAATACCAATTGAAATGCCACCTCTCCCAGGAAGCCTTCCTGGGAACAAATGGCTTCCTCCTCAAACTTCACAAACTCTCTCATACGTCACTCAAATAACTGTGTGTAATGCAATTATCTTTGCTTACATCTTGTCCCTCAACTAGAATGTAAACTTCAAAATGCGAAACCCCGTGGTTTTGTTTCTTTGTACCCCCTCCAATGTCTCCAAAAAGGAGGTGCACAGGCACACAGTATCTGTGAGTGAACTGGTCGGTCCACGAGCGTCATCTCGGCCCCCAGCACACACGCCACGCCCCCCTTTCTTACCTGACTTCTCACTGCTGGACGGCGGGAGGTCATCGAAAAGCAAAGGCCTTTTTTTCTGTGCTTCTCTCCCTGAAACACAAGCATCACAGAAGACTCAAAATGCACACAGTCAGCAAATCTCTCTTTCCAGATCCTTCCTCAGAGAAGGGAGGGGATTGCATAATTCTGTAATCTATGAAAATTCAAATGGAAACATACAGCTCAGACACAAGAAAGTTTGGGGGAGACGGGACTAATAAGGATTGCTGTTAGCTGGTACATGTGTGTCCACATCTGTACAAACATACCAACGTCACACCATTTCCCATCATGCTCAGTGCTACAGCCATGGGGACCACTTGCTCACTCCCAAAGCTGAACTAACAACTTCACTTAAGATCCACCTTGGATGTCCTGCTTCCTGACACACATCTCCCCGTTTTTCTCTGCCCAAAGACAGACAGAAGCTTTACAAGAGAGGAATCTGAAAAACTAGCTATGCCAGTAAGTGCGGGATTTCAAAAGTAATGCTTTCCATTTCCATAAACCTTTAACAAAGACAACCCAGTCCAGACCCAAGCAGATGAAGATTATTTACTCAGGTTTTTCTGGCAGGATACTGTCTTCAATTTCTTTATTCTCTCCCTCCCTGGAACTTTGAACACAACACACATCACATGTGAATGAATGACAAACATCGCTTCTTATGGACATAAGTGCTTTGTAATCCTCACACATGATATAAATGTAATGTAATATTTATTGTGGACCCACATGTAAACCATCGAGGAATACAAAGTAAGCAATGGCATACTTCCTACTGCTAAAGGGCTTAGGATCTAACAGGGGAGAGAAGACAGGCACACAAATAACTCCAACAGAATTAATCAAGGGCACGGGCACCCTGTGGCATTAGAGACTGGGGAGGGCACTTTAGGACAGGGAAAATGAAGGAATCTTCCCAGACGAGACAAAGGTTTTTACTGGCAGAGGTATGGGCAGGAGACAGCAGATGAGATTATTAAGGGGTAAGGAATTCAAGTTTGCCTGATATGGTGTGTACCAAAAGAAGTCAGAATAAAGATGGGGCTCGGACTGGACTTCATTTATGGTTTTCTCTGTAACTTGCGGACTTTGATGAAGGGTCATGAAACTGATGTGTATCAGAGATGGAATTCGAACCCTGTTCTGGCTGGCTCCACCACCACACAGCCTCTTCTGGAGAGTCAGAAATGGGACACAAGGCAGGAAAAGGAAGCTGAAAGCAGGCTGTCCGCCTGAACACCAGGAGAAGATGCTTGTGCTCAGCAGAGCGAGGCAGGCACTGAAGGTTTACAGCAGGGAAGCCATGGTCAGACTGGCTGTGGTCTGAGAGAATCAGGTAAGGGGGGAGAGCAGAAGCAGGGAATGTTAATGGGGAAGCTTCTACCATAGCTTATGCTAGAGGTCAGACAACTACGCAGCTTAAAGGCCTCAACAAGAATCTGAAAGGGAGAGTGGAGGGAAGGTGCTGTTAACAAGAAAATCTAGAATCAACAGGTGACAGAAGCAGTCAAGATTAAGAATGAAAATGAAAGCTGCTGATTTATCCCGTGAGGGAGCCTACGGTCAGAAAACCCTTTTATGGCATTTTACAGCTCAAACCTGGAGACAACCGCTGCTGCATCACCCCTTACCAATATTGTCCCTTCATGCTCCTAGGGCTCTGACTTCAAGGCTGAACTCCTAAAGGAAAGATAAGGAAGGGACTCCAAAGGACGGAATCTCTGCTGAGTTTCATTTCTATTTGAGAATTTCCTTAGTGAATAGTATAAAAATACGTTTTTGAGAATTGTATAATATTTGATACGTAAACAAAGATTTTTTGGAATAATTCCCCTAGAAAGGGAGATGAAAGAAAAAAATGAAACCAAAAGTATAACCAAAATTTAAATTAAGGGAGACTGCAAAAGGCTTACACCATAAGAAGAAAAATGCTAATTATTTTTAAAAACATAGCTACCAGCTAAACTCCTCAGAACTGATAAACATGGGGTTAAATACAGAAAATAAAGACTACGGCTCTAATGCATAAGAAGGTTTTGGAAATGTCAAGCCAAAAATAATCTTTGCATAATTTAATAAAGGTCAATAAGCTAGACAAGAGCCAGCATGAAGGAGGTTCAGAGATAAAAAACTGAAATGGAAAACTCTGTTTTTGCTCGGAGATTTCAAGTTAGGGATACCTATCTACCCCAAGGGCTTCTACTACCAAGTTTAATGGCAAGCTGTACACCAGGAGAGGTGGCTGCTCAGACAGACAGATTTTAAGCAACTATACTTGACAAACTAAAGGTCATTTTTATTTTATTTTATTTTTTTGGTTAGGCAATGGGGTTAAGTGACTTGCCCAGGGTCACACAGCTAGTAAGTGTTATGTGTCTGAGGCCGCATTTGAACTCAGGTCCTTCTGACTCCAAGGCCAGTTTTCTATCCACTGCGCCACCTAGCTGCCCCTAAAGGTCATTTTTAAAGGCACATTATAAAAACCAGTGAGTAGTTTCTTTACAACTGTTTTATATAGAAATGTTTTGTGTATTGTGATTTATATTGAGTAAGCTATAACAAATCCAATTTTTAAAAATGAGCATCTTCCTAATAAGGGTGACCCACATTTTTTCTCCACCAGCCCTTGATGAGCCTCTCTTAATACCTCCAGAAGATTGGAGATCTAGAGCCAGAGAGAATGGGAATCTCACAGACTACTGAGTCTATTTTTTTAGATCACAGACCTCTCCTCAGAATGATTTTTAAATGCATAAAATAAAGTACAAAGAAAGACAGTTTTACTGAAATAATTAAAAACCACACATTCACAGACCGCACATTAAGAAACCCCCAAGCCCAACTCTGTCATTTTACAGACAAGTAAAGGTCCTACATCTCAATGCTGGAGGTGGAATCTGAACTCAGGACCTCTGATTCTAAACCTGAGCTCTTTCCACTGGGCCAAGTCTCCTCCTGGCAGCCTCCATTCTCTACTGGGTGGCCTTGTTTCTTCTTGACTCTAAGCTGAGATCTCTCTAGGCTAGAACAAAGGAATTTAGAGCTGGAAGGGGCCTCTCAATCAATCATTTCCAACGCCTCATTTTACAGATGAAGTTGAAGCAAAAAGTATCACAATGATCGGTTCCAGACTGCATGTGAGGCAGTAACTAGAACCAGGAATAAACCCAGGCCATGATTCCCAATCCAGGGGGGCACAGAGCTTAATGCACTGAGCTTGGAGTCACCTACTAAGTGCCAGCTGCTGACTGACCCCTTGCTTGCTTGATTCGGGGCCAGAGGAGCTGGGTTTGAACGCTGGCTCTGTTACTTACTAGTTATGGTCTTATCTGTAAAACAGAAGGGGAGGAGTGGGCATGGGAAGGACGCAGGCCAGAGGAATTCTTTAGCCTCTGCCTCTCCCGCAGCAGGCCATTCCACTGAGGGAGATCTTCAACTGTTGCTGACCCAACACTGTCTCATCCGAAGGTCCGCCAATATTCCATGACAGCCATCATGTGTCGACCTCACAGGAGAGTACTTTGTACATGTTAAATTTAGCGCTACAGAAATGGGAATGACCATGACCAGGCCTTGCCTCAGTCATCTCTAAGGCCACATCCAGACCACTGCTCAGCATTGTCACGGACTTCTGCACGCACTTTTATTTTTTGATGTCTCTCTGGTACCCTGAGAGATAGCTGGGGTAGGGCTCGAGAGCTGGCCTGGTTAGACACATACTGACCGAGTGAGTCCAGGCAAGGGTAGCTTTCCAAGGCCTGAAGTCGTAAGACAGGTTTCCTGCCTACGTGGAATCACAAATCTGGGCCAAAAACACAACTCTGAGAGGAACAAGCTATTCCAAATGCAACAGGACCAGTGCAGAGTCAGGGGACACTGCATTCACTGATCCCAACAATACATGTCTATCTATTACCTGCTACCAGGGCAGGCTAGGGACTCATCTATGATGGAGTTTGCTGAGGGTTGTTGGGGTCATGATTTGTGAGGCAGGACGGGATGATGTACACATTAACACTGTGGTCAAGTCTGTCCCAAAGAAGGGAATTTCTTAGGCCTCAAGCGGTGATAGTAGTGGCGAGGACCCTGAATGTGGAGTCAGAAGGAGGCCCCAGTTTGAAGCCCACACCTGCCACTTATAACCTACATAATGCTGGTCAATCACTGTAGTTTCCTAAACCTCAGAAATTTAATCTGACCCCTCTCACCCAATGGCTGAAGAAGCCTTCCAAGGCTAAGCTTTACATGGGTCAATTTCATCTTTGACCGGCCCCCAAACCAACAAGGTAATCTTGGATTTGGATTCGGTCATCGATAGTATTAGCTCTCCCTCTCAATACAGATCTGATCATTATGCTGAGCAGACTGGCTTCATCCAAGCCACAAATAAAACATCAAGAAGATGGGGCTGTGCATGAAGCCCCATGGCAAGCTGACATCAATCCGGAATACTGTCTGGGTCTGGGGTTAGGAATTCACTGATTGTCAATCTCACATTTTTTTCTTGAGGATATCATGAGCATTTCTGTCAAATACACTGCTGCCATATTGACACACCAAGTCTAATAGATGATATAGCAACCATAACCCACAAATCTCAGCCCTACATAATTTGAAGGAGCTTGCTAAGTTTGTGATTCTTGTCCTCAAAACAGTATTAGATGTTACATGGCATTGGTTAGTGGGTGGGTGGGGGGAGAGCACCCACTGTCGTTAATAATAACTGATACACAGCACTTTAAAGTCTTCAAAGTGCTTCGTGTATACTATCTTCATATAAATTAGAGAGGGAATCTGGACCAGTGGAAGTTGGGAAAACCTAGGACGGAATCCTGCCTCAGACACTCACTTAATTGATCCTGGCAAAGTCATTTAAGTTTCAGCTGCTTCATCTGTAAAATGGTGACAAAAAAATGGCAGCCACCTCACAGGGCTTTCTGAGAGTTAAATAGCCATTACGATCTCATCTGATCCTCACAGCAGTGTGAGGCAGACACTACAGGCGTTGAGCAAACAGGTCCAGAGACTTTAGGTGACTTGACCAACCAGGATTCCTATCAAGCCTTCTGCCAACCCCACCCCCCAACCAAACAAAAGGTGAAGCCCGGGCAACCTATTAAGACAGAGAGCTCCATCAGAGTTGGTAATCTCACTCTGCAACGTCACTGTGTCATTTCTGAAAAAATAAGGATGGATTTGGAAACAGCGATGGAAAGGACCAGAAAGTATGGGGCTACGAAACGGGGTGCTCCGGGCAGAGCCGGCCGGCAGCTCTTTGCAGCAGCCCCAAGTCCAGCGGGAGTCAGCAGGTGTGCTCTCCCCGCCCGGTCTCACGGAGGCATCACCCCCGGGGGGGGGGGGGCGGGGGGCTGCTGTCAGAGGTCTCCTCACTTCACTCTGCAGAGGAGGAAGCTGGGGTTCACAGGGTCAGGCCGCTGCCCCAGCCGGCCATCCCCGAGGTCTGAGGCGTCAAAGCGCCCAGAGGCGGTCAGCCCCACCGTGGCCACTGCCTCGCTGCTCTCTAGTCCCACGGCAGTGACCGGCCTCGCACGGCCCGTGGCTCAGGACCACGCGGGGCTTCCTCGGTCCCTCGGAGAAGGGCAGAGGGCGGAATGGCCGGCGGCCGGGCGGGGGCGCTTCGTAGAGCGAGGCGCGAACGCCCCTCCCTGCCGGTCATTCCCGAAGTTCCGGTCCCAGGACCCCCGGCACAGCCCTCCAGGGCTCGGGGCGTGACCGGCGCTCGAGGCGGGGCTGCTCCCTCTGGACGCGCCCACGGAAACGCCTAAGGCCGGCGAGGGCCCACGTCTGCCTCCCGCCCCCTCCACGTGCACCTGGCTGAGCCCTGACGGGCGCCCGGGAGGGGGAGGGGGAGGGGGAGGGGAGGAAGACGGGAAGGGAAGCGGAGGGGAGGGTGGAGACGAGAGGGGGAGGGGAGGGAAAGGGGCGAGAGGGAAGAGGGGAGGGGCGAGGGGGGCGGGGACGGCCGGGGCCCGCGGCCCCGGCTCCAGCCGCCCCCGCCCCGAGCCTCACCGGCTGTGGAGCGGGGCGAGGGCTCCGGCTCCGGCAGGTCCCCGAACAGGTCCATCCGTAACCGGAACCGGGCGGCGCGCGCACGGAGCCGAGCTTCAGCCGGAGAGGCAGAGGCGGCGGCGGCGGCGGCGGCGGCGGAGGAGGCGGCGGCGGCAACTGAGAGGCTGAGGCGGGAGCAGCGACGACGGCGGCGGCCTCGGCCTCGGCCTGCTTGCTGTTGCCAATCACTCCGAGGGGGTGGGTCCGAGGAGGCGGCCAGTCAGCGGTCGGCCCGAGCCCGGATGGGGCGGGCCCACAGCCGGAAGTGAGGGCACGCGGGGCCGCGTGCTTAGCCCGGAGGCGGGATCGGCGTACTTCCGCGCCGGGGGCGCGTCGGCCCTGGGAGAGGAGACGAGCGACGGAGCCAGAAACCGAGCTTCAGTGGGCTCTTCCGGCCCGAGGATACGGGCTGCCTCCTCCGTGGTGTGTCAGGAGGTTTCCGGGGCGCCGTGCTCGGATTTTAGGCCGCCTTTAGTATGGGGCCCCCGGGGCCTGGCCGGATGGCGGGCCGCGCATGCGCATATCCCTCCTTGTGGGGCCCGTCCGGTTGTCATTCATCCTTGTGGTGGGGTGGGGCCTGTGAGACTCCGCCCCAAACTGGGCGGCCTAGGCCTTGACCCCTCCCTTCAGTAGCTATACAAGAGCCTACTGTGTGCAGGGCCTACTGAGTGTATGGGCCGGCTGCACTAGGGCTGGGGTTGCGTGCCAGGCAGGACCAAAGGGAGACGCAGCCCTGCCCTCCAGGTTCTCTCTGGGGACGGAGACCCCGGTGCCTCCCAATACCCCCAGGCTGCACTGGACGTTGTCCACTCTGACCCAGCCAAGCCGGCCTCTGACTCGCAAGGCACCCTCCATCTCCCTTCTCTGGACCTTTGCAGCAGCTCCTCCCCAGGCCCTCCCTCTCTTTACCACTCTTCTGGAACCCTGTCGTTGGAAGCCCTTTGGGGGAGCCCTAACTCCCTGCAGACTGTCACCTGCTTCTGGGGGTCATTCATGTGCTAGTCATGCTGTCTTCTTGTCTTTGGGCTTGTCCCCGCCCGGGGAGTGCAAGCTCTTCTAAGCAGCTAGGATCCTCTCCTTGGTACGGTTCCCAATATGTGGTGCGTAAAAGCGCCTTAAGAAAAACTTGTTGACCGATTGGCTGGGGAACTCCCTGGAGGAGGAGACTCTCCACCAGTGCAGGGGGGCATCTTCTCTGCAGTTTGCAATCTTAGAAATTTGCCCAAGATCAGAAGGTAGATTTGAACCCAGGCCTTCCTGGTTCTGAGGCCAGCTTTCTATCCACTATGTATGCTATCTTTCGTAAGCATGATGTTAATTGTTAACTAGATCAACAATAGGGATAAACTTATGCAACAAAAATGCAAGGGGGCGGAGGGGAGCGCTAGCAGCTGGGGGGAATCAAGAAAGACTTCATGGAGGAAGCAGCAGTAGCTGAGCTTTGAGTTCCTGGAAGTAGACTTGAGGGGGGATTGCATTCCAGGTATGGGGCACAGCTTGTGCAAATACAGAAAGGGGAAAGGAGTTACCTGGTGTGAGAAACAAGGGAGCCCCTTTGGCTGTATTGTGGAGCACATAGTAAGCCCTCGATCCATTGCAGTGGGGTGCAGTGGGCTGGGGCTGGGTTCAAATCCTTACCCTGCCACATTATCAGAGTGACCTTGGGGAAGTCTTTTCTCTCCCTGGGCCTTGGTTTTCTCACCGGTAAAGTAATTGTGCTGAAGTAGATTATGGATGACCCCCAGTTTGCTTCCAGCACTAACTCTATGATCTGGTACAAGGAGAGCAGAAGAGAGGATCCTGTGGGATTTAAGTTCCTGGGACCCCCTTATCAGCTGTAGGGCCTCAGGCCAGGGCCAGGGCTAGAGGGGGTTCATAAGCCTTTGATGCCTTCTCTAGTGTGAGAGCCCACATAGGATGAGCTGAGGTGACCTTAGCTGAGCCAAGTGCTGCCTCTGCTGAGCTTAATCAATGCTCGTCTTCCCTGCCCTAACCCCTTTTTTGGGGGAGGGGTCAGCACCTATATCTGCTGTGTAGGGAACACCTCAGTCAATCAATCAGTCAATATAGTGTCTCCTGTGTGCCAGGCACCATGCCAAGTGCTGGGGATACAAAAAGAGGCCAAAGACGGCACTTGCTGTCACTGAGGCAACTCTGAGTTGTCTGGGACACAAAAGGAAGGAAGGGAGTTAGACATGTAGATGTGCTAGATTTGAACCCAGGCCTGCCTGGTTCCAGTGCCAGCCATCTTTGTCCACTAGAAGTGACACAGTGAATGAAGTGCTGGGGTTGGTCAGGAAATCCTGAGTTCAAATCCAGCTTCGGGCAGTAGGGACCCTGAGACACTTAACCTTGGCATGCAACAATTTCCTCATCTGTGAGATGGGGATAATAAGAGCACCCACCCATTTTCTCCCTCACTTTCTTAAGTCTGTGGACAATCAGCGAAGCAATCCACGGAGCCCTGATGTGTTGCCTTTGTGAGGTGCAGATGTTCACTGACAATTTGACAATCAGCTCTTCCCGAGTAGGGTATCCTGCCCCCTGGCCATCCTGGATACCGTCCTCTGCGAGTACTTTGGGTGGTTGTTCTAAAATGTGCCCCCCCCCTCAAACAAAGCCTGGGCTGAGCTCTCCCTTCAGGGAGCCGGTGCTCAGGTAATGCACAGGTGTGTGTCCCTGGGTCACCTGAGGTTGTACTCTGCTGCTGTAGCTTTCAGGAGCTCATGCTCACCGGCCCTGGGGGCAACAGTGGCGTATCTATACAACACTTGTAAGGTCTTCTCATGATGACTGAAGTAGCGGAAACAAGAAGGAGGTGATGGGGAGGGGCCGTGTCCAATGCTGGGTCAGATTGTTCCTCCACCAGTCACTGGGTGGCACTGCCAGCCTACCAAGGCTTGCTGCTATCACCAGCTTCTGTGGAGTGGCTGTTGTCAGGTCAAACTTGGAGAGTAATCCTTAGAGCCAAATGGATTTCTCAGTCTCTACCCCTTCAGTTATTTGTCTCTAAACAAAGACATCACAGGCTGAGAGAGAATGGACTGGCTGCTGAAGGGTGATAACCTTAACCATCATAGAGTTAGAGCTGGGAGGGACATGAGAGGCCAGTCTAGTCTGACCCTGCATTTTACAGATGAGGAAACTGAGGCCCAGGGAGGTTCAGTGACAGGGTCACACAGCTAGTTAGTGTCTGTAGTGGGATGTGAACTTGCCTTGAAAGAGAAAAGTCAGGAGACAAGGGTGGAGTATTCAGGCATCCAAGCATCCGGGGTGGTCAGTTGCCCAATAGTCCACTTAGTAGGACTGTGCAAATGGACCCAACCAAGGGTTGAGCCCAGGGAGGATGTTTGGGCACAGCAGGAGGTGAGGGAGGGAGCGGGAGAAAGGCACAGCCTGTAAGGAATGGTGGGGATAAAACAACAGCAGATAGGCTCCAAGCTAGAGTCCTGGACTGCGTGATGGGAGATGTATGTACTTTGACATGGAAGTGAGTGGGGCCATTGCCCATGGACCATGCTCCATGTCATTTCCTGGATCTAGAAATTGATACCTGGAAAGGAAATGGAAGATAGAGGTGTGAGCTGGTGATGGGAGCCAGGCTGCCAGAGCCCTGGCACGCCTCTGCAGGCCCTGCAGAGCAGGGGGTTGGCTGTCCCCTATGGGGCCCGCCTTTGCTTCTGGGAAGCTGGCTCTCAGGCTCCCGAGTGCCCAAGCTCTGATGAGCTCGTACATGACATTGACAGGGAAGGCATGCCTGGCAGTTTTGTACAGTTACATGAGAACTAGGGTCGAAAAAACCCTTCAAATCTTGTGTAGAATGAGATTTCAGGGTTGCTTCTCCAGCAGGATGCTGGGAAAGGGGACTTTCATAGATAGAGCTTCCTCGATTCCTCACACCCCCAACGTCACCTTCCAAGAGAATCTGGCTTAGCACTGGTTGCTCGCAGGAGGTGTCTTGAAAGAGAAACCTCAGAAGAGAAGGGTTCGGAATGCCCTCCTCCAAACAGAAGTCAAAATAGTAGAAAAGGGGTTGCCCTTGAACTAATCCTAAAGTGATTTGAGCATTTATACCCAGCATGGGGGACCTTTTCTCTGTCAAGGAGCTTAGCTGTACTTAGGAGTTCTGACACCAGGGACAAGTATCAGAAAATGCCCTGGGAAAACAGTACAAAAGGCTCCCCAAATCAACTTCTAAAAGCAAATTCTGGTAAGGAGGGGTGTGAAGACCTCACATCTCAGGCCATAAAGTGTTGGGGGTGAGGGGAGACCAAGACTGTGCCATAGTACAAGGAATGTGGTGGGGAGGGAACAAGGTGGGGCTGGACCCTGGAAAGAGCTCATCTTTTGGGCTTGCTAACCGTGTGTTATGCTCAGTTGTTTCTATTTGCTGTTGTCAGTGCCCTAGAAATGTTGGAGCCCTAGGGCAGAGCCCTAGGTGCTCAACCCTAGTTAACACTGTGCACTTGACTCACAGGAAAGAACGTGGACAAGGTCCTTATGCGAGTAAAACACACAACTTACAGACAACTCTTTAATATTTATTTTTTCTGAGATGAATCCTTATATTAAATATTCAAGTCATTTGTCTTACCTTCAGGTACCTAAAGACTCCAAAATGGCTTTTAAAATGAAAAATAAGGCATACAAAACTATTTGATGATACTTACTGGAAGATAGCCCATTACTGCATTATTAGTAGTGCTGTGGATTTGTACAAACATTTGGAAAAGCAAATTGGAATCATTCCAACCAAGTGACCAGCGTGTTCCTACCCTTTAACCCAGAGATCCTGCTGCTAAACATATACCCTGAAGAGGTCAATGATAAAAAAAGAAAAGGCCCCATACACAGTGAGATATTGTTAGCCACATTTTTCTTTGGTAACAGAACTAGAAACAAAGTAAATGCTCATTGATTGGGAGATGGCTAAACACATTGTGATATGTGAATAGAGTGGAATATTACTGTCCTGTGACAAATTGGAGTATAAAGAAGCCTGAAAAAACATGAAAAGTTGCAAAATTACAAGAGTAAGAACAGATGTGAGAAGACACTTCCC